CATCTCAGGACGTCACACGACAATCCATGAACGTCACATGACCGTCTCAAGAACATGACTGTCACATGACGTTCACATGACCACCTCAAGACTGTCTCAAGACCACCTCAAGACCGTCAAGACGTCAAGACCATCTCAAGACCGCCTCAAGACCGCCTCAAGACCATCTCAAGACCGCCTCAAGACCGTCAAGACCATCTCAAGACCGTCACGTAACCATTCCAAGACCGTCTCGAGACCGTTTAAAGACCGTCTCAAGACCGTCTCAAGACCGTCACGTCACCATCTCAAGACCATCTCAAGACGTCACGTAACCATCTCAAGACCATCTCAAGACCGTCACGTAACCATCTCAAGACCGTCACGTAACCATCTCAAGACCGTCACGTAACCATCTCAAGACCGTCACGTAACCATCTCAAGACCATCTCAAGACGTCACGTAACCATCTCAAGACCATCTCAAGACCGTCACGTAACCATCTCAAGACCCGTCACGTAACCATCTCAAGACCGTCACGTAACCATCTCAAGACCGTCACGTAACCATCTCAAGACCATCTCAAGACCGTCACGTGACCATCTCAAGACCATGACCGTCTCAGGACCGTCACGTGACCCTCACATGGTCATTCCGAATCCCGAATTCAGCACTAAATATCCCGAAAAATGACACGAGTCACCTGCACGCAGTCCTGACCGCTGCTGATCGGCCGCTCCGTCTGTTTTTGTTTTTATTTTTTGACGTTCTACAATTAGGTTCGAATTTGCACTGACGATAAACTCATTTTCATTCATTCCAGGGAAAAATATAAAATGAAATACTTGATCTTTGATTAAAAAAAAATTTATGTGACAGGTTTGAAAATTCATCTTTTATTATTGTCTATGTAACAAAGACAATAAAAAAAAAAAACACCGTCCCGAATTTCAGCCAATCTCTTTTGGTCACCCTACAGTTATGTCACCAATCACATGACCGCGGGCACAGACAGCAGGTGCAGTTTTCTCTTATCTGCCATGTGGGCTCCAGATGGACTCAAGTTTGTACGTGTAAGACTGAAACTGAAAACGGGTCAAATTCCAAATAGCTGTTGAGACGTTAACCTGAACGAGTACGAGCGAAGAGAGAAAAGGCTGAAAGAGAAACTGTTACAGAAGAAAACTAGAACAACAACTACAATTTAATAAGCAGCAATAACGTGTCCTACCACAGTTATGCAGACGACACTCAGATCTACGTCTCTCTGGCAGCAGGAGACTATGGACCAGTGGAGTCACTTGGTCACTGCGTCCAACAGATCAGTGTGTGGAGGCAAAACAACTTTCTCCAGCTAAACTCTGACAAGACTGAAGTCATAGTGTTTGGTCCACAGAAACAAAGGGACAGTGTCAGCATCACCTCCAGTCTCTCTCTCTAAAACCTTCAAATCAGGCAAGAAATCTCAGGGTAATAATGGACTCAGACTTGAACTTTAACAGCCACATAAAATCAATAACATCTGCAGCCTTTTACCATCTAAAAAACAGAGCAAAAATCAAAGGTTTACTGTCTAAATCAGACTTGGAGAAACTTATCCATGTGTTTGTCTCCAGTAGGTTAGATACTGTAATGTTCTGCTCACTGGTCTCTCCAAACGAGCTGTGAGACGCTGCAGAACATCCAGAACATCCAGAACATCCAGAACATCCAGAACATCCAGAACGCTGCAGCTCGGGTCCTGACTCGAACTAGGAAGTACGAGCACATAAGTCCTGGTCTCAGGTCTCTGCTCTGGCTCCTGTGGCTCAGAGACTTTAAAGCAGCTCTGCTTGTACAAGTGTCTCCATGGCCGAGCACCAAAGTCCATCTGTGACATGTTAGTGTCATATGAACATCTCACACTCTGAGGAGCTCAGGGACCAACTCCTGCTGGTGCCCAGAGTCACGACTAAACAAGGGGAGTCAGAGTTTCAGGTTCATGCAGCTAAAACCTGGAACAGTCTGAACATGTGAGACAGACTCTTCTGTGACGCTGTTTAAATCCAGACTCTAAACATTTCTGTTTAACTGTGCAAATAACTGAAAGGTTTTCATTCCGCACTCTTCTCTCCAATTTATGTCTCTCTTTTTTCATTTTAATCTTCATGATTATTTATGTTTTGATTTGTTTTTATTATGATTTTAATGTATTTCTTATTCTGTAAAGCACTTTGAATGACTTTGTGTACAAATTGTGCTCTACAAATAAACTTGCCTTTGCCTTACAAGATCTGGTACAATGAGGCACAGGACGATACTGAAATTTAGTGTCAGGATTATCAGGGCCAAAATAATTACACGTACGTACGATTATATCAGGATAATTATTCCGGTAGCTGCCAGTTAAAAATGTTGTTATTAATAATTATAATAATGTTGTTATGAATAAGTTCCATGTTTAAACACCTTTTATTGCACTCTTTATGGTTTAGTCGGCTGGACATTCGCAGAAAACAACATTGGTTAATATTTCTTAGTAATTATTTCTTAGTAATCTCCTTAATATGAGCTCAGGTAGTTCCCAGTTTTGCACCTCACAGTTCCTTTTCACTGTCCCTCGGTGCTTCTCTGAGCTGGAAAAAAAGGACTTTTTCTACAGCGCCACGGTCTTGGAATCATTTACGGAAAGATCTTGAAATGGAATCTCTGGTGTCACTTGATAAATTCTAGAAAATTGGAAAAAATGCGAGTTTAGTGACCTGGACGTGTGTGTGTGTGTTTATTTTTTCTTGAGATGCAAATGGTTTTATATTGTGAAACTTTGTGATTTGACCTTGTTCCTTGACCAGATCTCTCTTAAAAAAGAAATTCTAAATCTCAGTGGGACCTCCTGGTTAAATAAAGGTAAAATAAAATAAATAAATATAATTATACTTTGTTATAAGCGAAAACAACGGTGATCTAGAAGAGACCATCGTGGATAAGGAGCATTTTTCTACACATTCTGGTGATAAAATTGAGATTATCTTTGTTGGTGATGATCACAATTATATAAAATGTCCCACAAATGATTATTGTTTAACCTTTTATTATGATAAATGTTATTATTGTGTATTGTCCCATCCCTAATTTTGGTAACACATGTTAAATTATGGAAATATAGGTAATAAATGATCATATTCAGTGACACGATGAACCTAAAACTGGATTTCACTCAAAAAAAAACTGCTCTACTGCCAAAATATTCATCAGTTTCCATGGTGACACGATGCACAAATCAGCAAAGAGCCCAAAAAAGTTTTAAGATTGTCTGAAAAAAACGTTCATGGTCCAGTTTAGGAGTTTGATTTTCAGCAAAAAGTTGAGAGTGACTAACTGAAAAAAACGTTTAATAATCCTCGCTGGCGTGTGACTGTAATTTCATGCATGAGTCACTTGTTTCACAGAACAAAAACATCTCAACTGTTGTAGTTCAGACCGACTCAGCTCTTTATGGTGACACTGTGTTAAAATGAAGTTAAACTCGAGTAACAGAAATTCTAACAGTTTCTCATTTAGCTTCACTTCCCCAGAGAAAAGTGTCTGTATCGTTAATGAAACAAACAACAACAAGCAAGACATACAAGTTTAATGCCCTACTGTGGAACATTCCTGGTAAAGATAACATTTACTTTGAGACAGATAAGTGAGGTAAGATCAGAAAATGGTGTAATAAGGCCGGGGCCTTTAACAAAATAACGTTCTAGTTGCCGTATTTCAAAAACACGGTTCCCATGGTCCATCAATCCTGCCCATCACCTTCACCTTTCACTATTTTTCAATTCCGTTGGGAAGAGAAACAGTTTGAACAGAGGTTTGAGTCACACACATCTGATTCACTTTTGCATTTATGGAGTTCGCAAACAAATTTCTCGAGTCGTTTTTCGCTGTTAGGATCCAACAACCACACAATTACGATGTCCGAATCCCAAAACTAAAATATGACAATATCAGAACCAGAAACAAAAGTGATATGGTTCAAAAGACTTGAAAAGATCGACTTTGACAATAGACACATCCCACTGGGAAAACAAACATGGAGGTTTGATGCTCACTTTTTTGGAGAATCCTTCCCAGTCTGCATGACCGGAAGTCCGACATTCTTGATGCGTGTTTTTATCGGTGCACCAAATTAGGCATCAAAATGATACATTTACAATGGTAATTCATCAAATTTGACTTATTATGCACAATACATATACTTCAAAAATCCCATGGCGAGCTACTTGGGAGGGGATGAGAGCTACGGGTTGGAGACCTCTGCTTTAAGCACAGGCATTTTTGTCACAAAGACGCTTTACAGAGCATTATTCATTCGCTCTATACCTGGTGATGGTAAACTACTGTTGTAGCCACAGCTGCCCTGGGACAGACTGATGGAAGTGAGGCTGCCAATCTGCGCCATCAACCCCTCCAACCACCACCATCACTCACACACCACTTTCATACTAGACATGTGGGTGAAGTGTCTTGCCTAAGGACACAATGATTGAATTGATTGTATTTAACTGACCTTGACTATCAACTGTTCTTGGACCTGGAGCATGTTTTGGGTTGATGGAGGAAACTCATCCAGACACAGGGAGAAACATGCAAACTCCACACAGGGGAACGAACCCAGAACCTTCTTGCTGTGAGGCATGAGTGCTAGCCACTCAGCCACCGTGCCGCTTTAAGTACATGCACAGTTGAACCCCCCCCTCCCCTCCATGCACGCAGATTTCCTCCTGAAAACTCTCGTCTAAATGCGGGATAAAAAGTGAAGATGCGACACCACTTCTGTTCAGATCGTCATCATATAAACGTAGCCTAAGCCTCAGTGAATCATTCAACTCTAAAAAGTCAGCAGAATTATGTTTTGGACAAAGAACGAATAGAAACAATAGATAAAAATAATAAATCAATATATAAAAGCAGTACTAAAAGGAATTAAATAGATAAAAGAATAAATGACTCCGTGTTTGTATCTTGTGTCACAGTGGGTCTTGGTCTCTCCTCAGGCTCCCAGCAGACAGGTGATGCACTTCTGGCTCCAGCAGCTGCAGCAGAAGCGTTGGGAGTACAGCAACACCCGAGGGTCCGGACAGAGAGACAGCTGGAGCTCCCCCATCACCGCCGACCCCCCCACCGGCCTCGTCCACAACGACAACGGTAAATACTCCTCCTGCACATCTGCACAACGTAAAAGATCAGCTCCAGATGTTTGTTTAGGGACTACAGCTGCACAGTGACATGTTGTTTATTCCAGTACTTGTCTTGTTAAGATTTTGTGACCTTAATTTTAATAACAGTTGTGTCTTTAAAGGTCCAGTATTGCACAAAATGGACTCTTGTGAGGTTTTAGTCATATTATAATGTTATTTACTCCTCAGAAACAGACCTGTAGGTGTGTTTTGTTTGAGTAACTCTTTATTATTAATCTGTCTACATCCCCAAAGCTCAAAATGTTCTGTTCCTCCTTACGGTGTCATGAAGTGGTGGTTTTAAAGGTAACGGCTATTTTTTTATCCTCCTTAATCCGTGTGTCATTCGTTCATTCGTTTTTCAAAATAAAACCAAAAATAAGAAAAAGAAAAAACAACTGTTTTCTTCATTTGTCTCCAAAACCAAAATGAAAAAACAGATAATGATTTGTTTTTTCAGTTTTCAGTTTTGTGTTTAAATGAAAATGGAATAAACGGATAATGGCCGTTTCCTGTTTATGTGACTCCCGTGACTGCGATGCCGGATTTTGCATCACGTACGGACTGAACCAGGACTGATCCAGGTTCCGGGACCAGACGGGGACCAGAGCGGGACCAGGGTGGACTCCAAGCTTTGACTCTGAGCCTCTGCAGGGTCCGAGCCTCAGCTTCAAGCTCAGGCCCTGCCGTGGGCTCTGAGCCTCCGGTCTGGTCCTGGTCTGGTCCTGGCCTGGTTTCGCTCTCAGTCCCAGTCTCAGTCTCGGTCTGGTCCTGACCTGGTCCCGGCCTGGTCTCAGTCTCAGTCCTGCTCTGATCCTGGCCTGGTCCCAGCCTGGTCCCGGACCTGGATCAGTCCTGGTTCAGTCCGTACGTGATGCAAAATCCGGCATCGCAGTCACAGGAAGTCACATAAACAGGAAACGGCCCATTATCCGTTTTTTCCGTTTTTCATTTTAACACAAAATCGAAAACTGAAAAAACGAATCATTATTTGTTTTTTCATTTTGGTTTTGGAGACAAATAATGAAGAAAACTGTTTTTTTTTTTTTTTCATTTTCTTATTTTTGGTTTTATATTGAAAATTAATGAACGAATGAAACACAGGTTCTCCTTTGTTATACTTTACAATACTGTAGAATAACGAAAACATTTTTTCATTTACACTTTTATTCTGTTGAGATGGTCACAGAAGGTCCACAGTGTCGTCCGATGAGGCTAAAACAGCTGTAACTTCAAACGACTGACAATTCCTGAGCTGAAATCATCCAAATTAATCTAGTGACAGTGTGTGGAGTTTAAAAACACAATGGAGCACTTCCTGTATTCCCACTTCATGACATCACAAGGTGAAACACGGTGTTTTCAGTTTAAGAGAAGAACTCAGCCTCAATTCCAGGTCTGTTTGTGATGAAGAAACATTATGACACAGATCAGAAAATAGTTGGACTGAACGATCTGCGTTTTGGACCGAAAATCGCGATCTCAGAAAACACGATTTTGGGAGCATGAAAGCCGTGTTTTTTTACAGTGCTCCTAAAGCCCAATTTAAGGGTGAAGTTTTGTTCTGCCTCGACTCGGCGCTCACTGTCGCTGTCGTTTTTGATTTATGGATTTGCGTCGAAGTTTATGCGCCGTGAAGGACTTTACCACCTCAACGTGACGAGGCGACGATTTAAACCTGGTGTTTGTGTGAAGTTTAACATGAACCATCTCAAACGTGACAGAAACACAGAACAGACTCACCATCAGCAGAACACCCCTCTGTCACAGAAACAACACTCATATTCCACTGAGTCGTGTCGTCTAGACAAGAAGCTGAACCGCATCAGCGCACAAGGAAAGAGCTGTTAGTTTATTAGTTTTTTTTATAGTTTATTCAAATAAGTCATGTGGTTTTAAGTTTTGTTTCTGTAAAATATAAACAAATGTGTCAAAGCTGCATTAAACACATTATTACGTTAAAAGAAAGGAAAGTGGAGGACAGGAAATGTGTTTAGAGTCCACAGTCAGACTCTGGAACGATGTAAGTTTCTGTGACGTTTGCAAATGTTCATGTGCAGTGATACTTGATTTGAAAAAAAAAAACATGGATGTAATCGAAATTGCGATATCTGCCAGAAAAATCACAATTCAATTTTTTCTTAAACTTGTTCAGCCCGAGACAATAGTGTAATATTTTAACCTTTAACCATGTTTTTATGCTGCAGGACTCCCTTGTTTTTGTATACGATCTTATTGGCCTCCAATAATCTGCTGGGATTAAAAATGAAATTTCATTGTGCTGGTGTTACCGTTCCTGCTCTTGTCTATTCTGCAGCTACGCTCTAAGGCCTCTGCATTGCTGCTTGCATCTATATTTACCTGTTTAAAATTAGAATTAGACAACAGTATAAATGTTCTTAACCCTCAGTTTTACCTGACCATAACTGTTCTGCTTTTTAGTCCAGATAAGAATAATTACTTTAAAGAACCAAGTCATGTGTTAGTTATGATCTACTTGTGTTTGCCGACCAGTACGATGTGCATGTGCCTCGACTAAAGGAAAGAGAAAAGGAAAGTGTTGTTACCTTCAGTGCACCGCCTCTTTGTCTTTATGTGTGTGTTCATGTCACGTCATTGTGTTGTTCTCGTTTCCAGACGGCGTGGTGTTTGAGAAGTTCAATGACAGTATGGAGAAGGTGCGCAGTGACTTCGCCCTGGAGGCCGAGGTGGACAGCGCCGTGGGGGACAGTCCCTCGTCCAGGGGTCCCACCGGGGCCCCCGCCAACCCGCTCAACACGCTGCGGAACATCGGCACTGAGCTCAGGTACGGACACCGCAGCATTTAAATATTCAGTTTGTTTGTTTTCTTTAGTGTTCGTGTTGTTTATACAGATGGACAGACATTTTATGCTATTTTCTGCTCTGTTCTAATGTCGTTTCCTCATCACAAACAGACCTGCAGTTGCGTTTTGTGTCATTCACACATGTTTAACACTCAAACCTTGCAGATTTAGGCTGAGTTCTTCTCTCATGGTTTTACAGGAAGTGCGTCGTTGTATTTTTAAACTCCATACACCTTCATTAGAATCATTTAAAGAGCACCTATTATGCAAAATCAACTTTTCAAAGATTTTAATCAGGGTTCCTGCGGCATTTTAAAAAGTCTTAAAAACACTGAAGTATGAATTTGGAAATAATACCATAAAAAGACTTGGAAAAAGTTTAGAATTTTTATATGTGGGTCTTAAAATTTGTGCAGTATGTAACTTCTTTGTGTCGCATTTCCACTCAAAATTATTCATTATTTGGTTAAATAACGTCACTTGAAGAGCGGCGGAACCAATAATTGAGAACCCAACTCAGCCCCGGGTCAAAATCCTCCTTATACAAGAATAATCAAGAGTGAGACAGTGTGCGGGAGTTTTTCTTCAAAAACAGCTAAGGCTACGTTCAGACTAGAGCCCGACCGATATGGACATTGTTGTGGCCAATATGAAACCGATATAATGGGAGTTGGAGCTGCCGATAGCCGATATAATCGCCGATATATTTAGTGATGTAAAAATTAACTGTAAATCTTGACTTATTAAAAAAAACTTAGGCTTGGCTCTAGTGGATTTTAAACTGGGTTTATTTAGGCAACATTTATTGTTATTCTGCCTCTTTACATGATATGTCATAGGACTAAAGCAGGTCTAAGGCAGGACTAAACCAGAACTGAACCAGGACTGAAAAAGGACTAAACCAGGACTAAAACAGATCTAAACCATGTGCAAAACAGTACTAATCCAGAACTGAACCAGGACTGAGTGTCGGGACTTGGTCTCTATCTCTCTCTGTCTCTCGAGCCCAAGATTAGTCCTGGTTTATTTATTTTATGCTGAATATATATTTATGCACGTTTTTGTTTTATCCTATGCACACGCAGATTTTTGAAAGTTTCGTTTTGAGCCGCTGCCGCTGTCAAACTCCCACGAGTCTGCACGCGGCGTGAAGACAAAAAAAAGTGAGAGAAAGAGAAAACACGGCTCCCTTCGTTCGCTTCAAAGAGCCGGATCTAAGCCGCTTCGTTTGCGACCGACCCATAACTACAAGCTAATAAACAATCGCTATTAGCCTTTAGCTGTAAATGCTGCGTGCCGCAGTAATTAATTATACGCATAAATGTGGATCATTCACACGTCTATTCACAGCTCATTTACATATCAGTGCAGGTCCAGTAACAAATATATGGCCAATATAGTCACTTTACAATAGACCAAGAAAACAGAAAACAAATAGAAAACAGCCTGTTTATGTGCGAGAGCTACAGCAGCTAATCGCTAACTTATCAGAACGAACCAAAACTAGCTTCAAAGTCGACATATTTCCAACACTCACCGCTCACACAGGCTCCTCCCACATCACAAGTCTGAACTAATAAAAGTCCTTTTAATTAGAGCCCGACCGATATATCGGTTGGCCGATATTATCGGCTGATATGGGCACCTCGAGGCATATCGGCTATCGGCCGATATGCTTGCTGATAGGGGCCGATATTTCACGTGGGCATGTTATACCTCGTTATAAAGCTTAGACTCTCTACATTCTGTTCATTCAATCCAATTTACAGACAGATAAATGTCCTAATATGTGGCTCCACATCAGTATTTATCTACGGAGTCATTTGTCTGTGTCCGTACTGTCCCTGAACACACCACAGAGTCGCGTCACTCACGTGTGTTTGTTTACACCTGCAGACACAGATCCAAACACTGAGATTATTTTCTTTTTACGGACAATCGGTTTGAGTCTGAATTAAAAGGACATTTATTAGTGCAGATTTGTGATGTGAGGAGGAGCCTGTATGAGCGGTGAGTGTTGGAAATATGTCGACTCTGAAGCTAGTTTTTGTCATTTGTTATGGGTTAGCTGCTGTAGCTCCCGCACATAAACAGACTGTTTTCTATTGGTCTATTGTAAAGTGACTATATTGGCCGTATATTTGTTACTGGACCTGCACTGATATGTAAATGAGCTGTGAACAGACGTGTGAATTATGACATTTGCGCATATAATTAATTACCGCGGCGCGCAGCATTTACGGCTAAAGTCTAATAGCAGTAGTTTATTTACTAGTTATGGGTCGGTCGCGAACGAAATGACTCTTAGAACCGGCTCTTTGAAGGGAACAACGGGAGCCTGATCCTTATTGGGAGCCGTGTTTTCTCTTTCTCTCACTTTTTTTCTCTTCACGCCGCGTGCAGACTCGTGGTTTGACAGCGGCAACGGCTGAAAACGAAACTTTGAGAAATTTGCGTGTACATAGGATAAAAAAAAACAAAAAACGAGCATATTTGACTGTAGTTTAGCATAAAATAAATAAGTCCTGGTTTAGTCCTTTTTCAGTCCTGGTTTAGACCTGGTTCAGTTCTGATTCAGTCCTGCTTTAGACGTGGTTTAGTCCTGCTTGCAACAAAACAATCTGAAGAGCCACTTGGGAGCCAAAAGAACCAGCAGCTTTTAGTGAGCCGAGCCAAAAGAGCCGGTTCTCTAAAAAGAACTGGAATACCCATCACTAGTGTCTAGAATGTGATGCAAAAATGCCATTAAGTCAACCTACTGTCTGTAAATATGATGTAAAGAGGCAGAATAACAATAAATGTTGCCTAAATAAACCCAATTTAAAATCCATCAGAGCCAAACCTAAGTTTTTTAAACAATTCAACATTTACAGTGAATTTTTACATCACTAAATATATCGGCGATTATATCGGCAGCTCCAACTCCCATTATATCGGTTTCATATCGGCCACAGCAAAATCCATATCGGTCGGGCTCTAGTTTTAATCCAGACTCAAACTGATTGTCCGTAAAAAGAAAATAATCTCAGTGTTGCACATGGATCTGTGTCTGCGAGTGTAAACGAACACACGTGACTCTGTGGTGTGTTCAGGGACAGTACGGACACACACAGAGACAAATGACTCTGCAGATAAATACTGATGCATATTAGGACATTTATCTGTCTGTAAATTGGATTAAATGAACATAATGTAGAGAGTCTAAACTTTATAACGAGGTACAACATGCCCACGTGAAAATGTCAATATTATCGTTTATCGCAATAAATTCTCGGTCAATTAATCGTCCAGCAAAATCTGTTATCGTTACAGGCCTAATAATAACAACATAATGATCCACAAGTGTTGAACAGTTGAACTATATCGCAGAATTTCCGATCAAACTTGTGTGAACGAAACAAAACAAAACACAAGTCCAGGTTTGTTTTTGAGGAGGGAACAACAGTTTAAAGTTTGTAGGTTAAAAGTTCTCAGGAGTCCGTTGGTTTCGGTGACATTTGACGTGTTTATTGACAGAATGTGTGAACCGCATTTTGGTCGCTCAAGCCACACGGTGTTTTTTTTAATATTTTGGTGGTGTGTGAAATAAATATCACACGATCCTTTTATGGGAAGGCACCGACACGAGCTGTGACAGATTTACTTTGTGGTTTCATCTTTTACAAGCAAGTGTTTGTTTAGAATCTTTGCTGACACGACCTCCTTCATCAGCGGATCCTCCATCACACAGAACTCACAATTTCTCACAAAGACTGAAGAAAGAAGTGGACTAAAGGGAGGGAGCTCCAGTCAAATGCAGCTCAGCGAGAGTGGCAGTTATCGAATTTGGAATAGGAATTGATTTACGGACAAAATATCAAAATAAAAATACCAGGATCATGTAGAATGGGTTAATCCAGGGCGACTAGTTGACCCTACTTATCCGGGACAGTCCCAGTTTTGAGTCCTGTGTCCCGTGTCCCAGCAGATTTATACAAAACCAGTGATTTGATTTCAGTTTTATACAAGAAATGTCCCAAGTGTCTCTATTTTTGACCATTTTGATCTCTGCCAACAGTAAAGAGAGACATAAACTCTCATTTGTTTCAGTAAAAAACAGAAAAGCTGCTTAAAAACAACCAAAACGCAAAGAAAATGTGACTATACTGACTCAGAATGCCTAACAATTTTCCTTGTGTACTGTATTTTTCAGACTATAAGTTGCACCAGCCAAAACATGTGCAATGAAGAAGAAAAAAACATATATAATTCGCACTTTTTGGGGAAGTGTATTTTATAAAATCAGAGTCCAGGAACTGACATTTCATCTTGAAAGGCAAGTTATAGTAACAGAATAGAGAACAAGAGACTGAACAGGCGTTAATATGTCAACGTCACATATGAACAGTTCTTCAGATAATTATAGCATAAACAACAGAACAAGTTTAACCAAACTCTCCATCTCACTCCAAATCACTAAATCCATTCAATTCTTCATCCTCGGTGTCACGTCTGAGCAACCTCTGGAGATAAACCATAGATGCATGAGGTAAACGGAGTGCTGCTTCCTTTTCTGGACATCCAATTAACGATGTCCGAATCCCAAAACTAAAACATGACAATATCAGAACCAGAAACAAAAGTGATATGGTTCAAAAGACTTGAAAAGATCGACTTTGACAATAGACACATCCCACTGGGAAAACAAACATGGAGGTTTGATGATCACTTTTTCGGAAAATCCTTCGCAGTATGAATTGTGTGATGAGCGAAGTCCAAAATTCCTGATGCATGTATAAGCTCTATTCACGGTTACGTCACAAACCAGGAAGATGTTTGGAAACATGCGATGAAACTTGGTGTAGTTCCCGACACTGGGCTCACCGACTATACTAAATGTAATCAGCGGTAAAATGAAGACTGTAGATGTATGTACTGTTTGGAATCGTCTGGAATTTGGCGCCTCGTCTCTTCTAATCGCATGTACCCAGTGCACTCAGAGTTGTGCGTCAGTGCGGAAATGATGGAAAAAAAAAAGACGTCTGATTGTAATTGTTGATTTGTCGAACATAACGGAACGCTACAATGACATGGAGATGAAGAAAACTGGGACAATTTCTAATTTTACCTCGATTTTGTCAGACATACGACTGCGAACAGAAGCCAAAGGAAGTTGTAATCGCGTCTTGCTCACTTCCTGTTTGGAACGCGGTTTAACTATGACCATTCTGCTTCAAATTCGCTCCTGTAACCGACAGCTTCGATGAGCTTCATTTGACTGGAGCCGAACACTGTGGGCGATGTCACGCTCCCTCAGTTCACTTCTTGATTCAGTTTGTGGTGGAGGTCTGCAGCCACTTCCCTCTCTCCTTCATTACTATTCTTTTTTCTTTTTACTTTTTTGTCATTTTTTTTTCAAACCAGACCAAACAGAGAAGTTACAGGTCAGATCTGTGGAGAGACGATCCCGCTCACAGCCAGAATGTTTGTTTTTCTAGGTTTTTTTGAGCTGTAAAACCACCTGTAATTGAATAAATGTCAAGTCGAGCTGTTTAATGTCACACTGTGGAACATTCCAAGCAGAGCAAAGACATGTCCGTAGGAACAAGAAGGTGACAAACGCCAACGAAAAAGTTACAGAGTGCAGCTTTATCAGTTGCACTTTAGACTTCCCACATGTGACCTTGCTCTTTCAGATTTGTACAGTGCGTCCTGCTTCAGAAGTACAAATTTGTTACTTAAATAAAAGTACAGATACTGGAGAATAAAAGTAAAACTATCACATGAAAAAACTGACTAATAATCTGCATCTGACTCTAGGGGTGTGCAAAAATATTGGAATATCGATATATCGTATCGTTTAATGTGATGATACAGTATCGATATCGTGGGCTATTGTATCGATATATCACCAAGAGTATTTTTACGTGTGTTTTACTAAATTATTTTGTTACAGAGCTACAGTTTTGTGGCTTGTGGAGTGAAAGGAAACTCATTTATGCAACACATTTTACATTTTCACTGTTTTGATGATTAAAATATTTGTGTTTCATATGAACTTTGCACAAGAAGAAGTGGTTTAACAAAGACTTTTAGTATCACAGCCATGATTTAGACTTTATTTTTTATTGAACCGTATCGAATCGATTTGAAATATATCATATCAAATCGAAAGTGCAGTGTATCGAGATACGTATCGTATCGTGGCCTGTGTATCGAGGTATGTATCGTATCGGCAACTTTGACTCATTGGCGCTGTTAGTCCAACCCGAAAACTCAAATGTCTTACATGATACAGACACGACTTTGACGCAAAAGTCACATTTTTAACAAATCTGCACGAAAATGCGAAAAAAATAAGTCCAGGGATAGAGACACACTGCTGTTTTAGACTCATTTACGCAGAGAATCAGGAGAAAAAAATTTATTTTAAGTAAAAATACTAATACCAGAGTAAAAGAAAACTCAAGTAAAAAGATATCACATGAAAAAATTTACTTAAGTATTAAAATATCCATTTAAAAATTTGCATAAAGAGTAAGAAGTATTTTGCACAGATTCTTGAGGCTTTGAATGGAAAGTGTTTTTTTATTTGTTTGTTTTTTTTTGCTCACATTAGGAGCCCCTCAGTCTTTTCTGCAGGTCTCAAACTATCATGAAAAATACTTTTACTTTTCAGTCCTGTTCAAAAATGTAGTGGAGTAGAAAGTCCAGACACCTGCTCTTAAATGTAGTGAAGTGAAAGTAAAAAGTATCCACCCTCAAAATCTACTTATCATGAGTGAAGTACAGATACGTAAAATAATACTTAAAAGTTCACTGTGTAACTTTTGTCTGCTCTTTCAGAAACTCCATGTCGTCTCTGCGGTCGGGGCGGGACAGCAGGAGGAGTGTGTTCTACACGGCCAACAGCAGCACCGTGGACGAGTGGGAGCTGCTGGACGCTCCTCCCAAAGACGTGACCACCGAAGGAAAACACAACGAGGCCCACAGACGTACGAGACTCAAACACTCACACACATTTCACTCTGCGCTCGCTCTATATGCTGTCGTTTCACTCTCTGTGGGTCTGAAACAGTATAAGTTGCACTTTTTGGGGACCACGGAGCCGACATTTCCTGTGTAAAGTCAAGTTCTAGTACTGTATTTTCTGCTCTATTAGTCGCTCTGGATTATAAGACGCACTGTCATTAAATGGTCTATTTTCAAACTTTTTTCACAAATAAACCGCGCGGGACTTTAAAGGAAACACAACAGTGTGATGGGTGAGTGGTTTTGTTTGTTTGTTCGTTCACGGTGACTCTGGGCTTTGTTCAGTTGTGGCGTGTAGGGAGGGTGTGTCTGGGACCAACGGATTAGAGCTGGGCGATATGGATCAAAAAATATATCTCGATATATTTTGCTATATCTCGATATACGATATATATCTCGATATATGTTCAAGAAAAAATAACCCCCTAAAACTGAAAACTGCAAAAACAAATCTGCCAAATTCCACAAGGTCCTTTTTTTTTAAATTGAAGTGTAAGAGGTCGGCAGTTCATATAGGAACATTTAAGATTATAAAAAATCCTAATTACATAAATAATATTTAACTGTAAAATATAAGAAATAAAACATATTTCCTTCTTTTCATTCATAAATAAAACAACTCAAGACAAGCTCATCTTTGCATTAACTCTGTTATCCAGACCAGAACCAGAACCATGAGCTCATTTAACAGAAGAAGCTCAGGATGTTCCTTATTTTAACAGATCCATGTTCCAGCAGTGAGGAGCTCTGAGGTTTAATCCCACAATCCACTGCAGATCAAACCCAACGTTTCCAAACACTTTTGTACAAGTGACACTGCAGCAGATTATTAATTAAAATCTTCTGCATAAATAAACTTTACATTACTAAACTTTACAATATATAAAACATAACGACTCTAGAGCCACATCAGCCCGTTTGAGATAATAATGTGTTTAATGCAGTTTTGCGCACGTGTGTTTACATTTTACAGAAACGAAACTTAAGCTCATGACTCATTTGCATAAACAGCACTTCTCATGCAGCTCAGCTCGTTCAGCTTCTTTCGGGCTAAAGGACGAGACTCGGTGGAATATGAGGATGTGCTGCTGATGTTCTTGTCTGTAAATGGTGGAAAAGGTTCATGGTGCTTGAAGCTTTTCACTGGCTCCAACTTTCGGCTTTCACGGTGGTAGTGACGAGTGAAGGAGACACGAGCAACAAAATCAGTGAGGCGGAGGCGACCAGAGAGAAGGTAAACAAGCAAAGCGGCGAAATCAAAATTGAATATAAGCATTATATCGATATATACGATATGTCAGTTTTTAAACTTGATATGAATTCTATCTCGATATATTTAAAATATGGAGATATCACCCACCCCTACGCTGGATTGTCGGCATGTTCACAGTGACTCAGTTGTTCAGTCGTGTCTAGAAGTGGCACATTGGGCTCGCTTTTTTCGGTTCGTTCCTCTGTTCCGTTCCTCGTCGGCGTGGAGTGATGAGTGTGTCTGTGGGTGTGTTTCTCTGTGCGGTCGCTGTCTGCTCCGTGTGTGTTTGTGTGTTCTGCGGGTGGTGCGGCTTTGTAGTTTACTGAAGTCGTACTGGGACACCTGAGTGGATTCGTGTATGGGGCGCTCTGGATTGTGGGGCATGCGGTCATTTTCTGATGCAATTGGAGGCTTAAGAGCGCGACTAATAGCCCGGAAAATATGGTAATAACAGTAGAAGAGAGAACAACAGACTGTTAACGTCACATATGAACAGTTCTTCAGATAAACTATAACATAAACAACAGAACAGAACAAGTTTAACAAACTCTCCATCTCACTCCAAATCACTAAATCCATTCAATTCTTCATCCTCTGTGTCACTTCTGAACAACTCGACCTCGACCTCCGGAGGTAAACAGAGTCAGACTCAGCATCAGTTCCAGTTAGAATTATTCGGGATGGTTTCGGTGTCACTGAAGTCCAGGCTTTGTCCATCCATCCAGTGACTTCAGGAAAGTTTCATGTTTCATCCTCCTGGTGTCACAAGTTTCTCTCTCACTCCAAACTTTATTTCTGCTGCTCGATTTCTGTTTTCATCTGCAGATTTCACATATTATATTTGAAATATTTATACAAGTCGCTCCGGAGTATAAGTCGCAGGAAACACCCAAACCATGAAAAAAAGTGCGACTTATTGTCCGAAAAATACTGTATATCGACTTATCGTTTAACATATGAAAGCTGGAACAATATTTACTGTGTGTACTTTTTCTTTGCACTACTGGGAACTTTTTTGGTTATTTTTTGGCTCTAGGCAAAGAGTCGAGCCATTTTTTTCTGCTGCTCGATTACCGTTTTCAGCTGCAGATTTCACGACCGTATTTTCCACACTATAGGGCGCACTTAAAAGCCTTTAATTTCATCCAAAAAAGAGTGTGCGCCTTATAATCCAGAGTGCCCTACAGTGGGCAAAATACGGTAATCTGCAAAATCTGATTTTGTTTTTGGGGGCATTTGTGTTCAGTCTTCTCAGTCTTTGTCTTTATAAGTTTGTTTAAACGTTAAATTGTTCAGTGGTGCAGAAGTAATGGTGCGATCGACTGACATGATACAGACAGGACAGAGGCTCTTTCTGCAGGAGACATGCGCAGTAGAGTGAAGGGACAGTGGTAAAGGAGGAACAGGAGCAGCAGATACTCACACACAAGACTAGAACCTCTCCACACTTCACGAAAAACATTTTAATATAGAAGTCGCACCAGAAACACCCAAACCATGAAAAAAAGTGCCCCTTATAGTCCAAAAAATACAGTATATCTTTATTTTTACTTTTTCTGGATATTTCTGGACATATTTCTGGTTGTGTTGTAGATTCCTTCGGCTCGACGTTCCCCTTTGACTTCGGGCGTAACTCCAGTCGGAATAAGCGTCCGCTGCTGCCGGGGCGACCGGGGCGGGGCAGTGCGGACATGTCTGTGGAGTGTAACGGCAGCCGACCCGTGGACCTGCAGCAGCGCCTCCAGAACCAGCAGGAGGAGCTGTGCCGACTGCAGCAGGAGCAGACGCAGCTCAGAGAGGAGCTGCTCACACACAAGGTCCAGACCCGAGTTTGGTCATGTTCTAATGTTGTTCCCTCGTCAAAAACAGACCTGGAGTTGTGTTTTGTTTCATTCACACATGTTTGAGTCACTCTTTATTATTAGACTTTGACCTTGACAAACATTATTGATCCACAAGGGAAATTATTGGGACACGAGAGCTCATCACACATCACAATATAACATAATAATAAAGAGTAAAAATATAAATGGTTAGGGTTGAGGTGAGAAAACTTTTTGACTCATGGGACACAAAGGGTTCTAAGATGTGACGGAAGGACTGGACCAGGAGCAAATTCATGGAGGTTTTCTGGTAAACCACCTCATAAGAGAAAAACATAACATGGGATATGTTATTAGGTTCTTTTTTTCAGACCCAGAGTGTTATTTCATACCGGACAGTTTCGACTGCTCACTAGCGTCTTCCTCAGAGTCACGTGATGTTGCTGTGACGTGTCTGGTCAGATGATTTAAACAGGTTTTGGCGCTGTCTTCCTACCGGTGGAGGCAGGACGACAGCGCCACCTGCAGTCCCACTTCCTCAGGACAGCATCCCAGGTGTGTGAGAGTAAAAAAGCCCCTCGTCCCGGTTTACAGGACGAGATGGACCAAAGACCAAATGAATCTCATTGGACTATAACATGGGATATGTAGAAAACATATTCCATGTTGTTAAAATATCCCGTAATTGAAAATTATTAAAAAACATAACACAAAATATGTGTCTTTCGAGTCCCACGGTATTTACTATTTACTGAAATGACTTTTAAAACACAGAATTATTATTATTATTATCATTATTTTTATTATTAAAGTTCGGCGTGTCGCGTATGGTCCCCGGGCCGTAGTTTGCCCACCCCTGGGTTAGGGTGACCAGACGTTCCTGTTTACCCAGGACAGTCCCAGTTTTGAGTCCAGTGTCCCCTGTCCCAGCAGATTTATTCAAAACTAGTGATTTGTCCAAGTTTTACACGAGAAATGTCCCACGTGTCCAAATTTTGACACCAATTTGATCTAAACCAGGACTAAACTAAGACTAAACCAGGACTACATCAGGTCTAAACTGGGACTAAAACAGGACTATCACAATTTTTGACGAATCTGATCCTGACAACTGTAAAGAGGAGCATAAATTGTCATTTGTTTTGCCAAAATACAGAAATCCATGTGTTTGTGAATGACAATAAAGCAAAAACATCCAGCAACAGAAGCTCCTCAGGAATCCACAATATTTCACGCTCTTTTCACTATTTTCACCATCCCAACCCTGGTGTGTCCCAGTTTAGAATTTAGAAAATCTTGTCACTCTATAAATGGTAATAATAAATTCTAACTAAGTAGTAAAAAAAGACAGAAAGTGTCAAATAAGGCGTAATTGTATGATACCTGCTGTCTTTTTTGCTACTTATTTAATCCAATCCAACTTTATTTGTATAGCACATTTTATAAACAAGACAGTTTCTTTAGTTAGTTTAAAAACTATCAGCACAATTATGTTTCAACCATGAGGAAACCAATAGAATCAATAAATAAAATAATAATAATAATAATAAAATCAATGAACAAAAATAATAAAATCAGTACATGAAAGCAATGCTAAAAAATAAAATAGATAAAAAACTATAAATAAATGAAAAATAAATAAATAAATATAAAATAAAATAAAAAATAAATATAAAATAAATAAATATAAATAAATATAATATAAATAATACATATAAATAAAATAAATACATAAAAAATAAAATAAAATTACACAGAGGAGCACACAACTCACACAGTGTTAAAAGCCACAGAATAAAAGTGGGTCTTTAAATGAGATTAAAACCCTCCACTGTGGGGCTGTTTGGACGTTGAGGGGCAGAACGTTCCAGTTTAGAAGATAAAGTTTATTTTAAAGTCTGATCGTCTGTCTACATCTCCAAAGCTCAAAATGCTCTGTTCCACCTTGTGATGTCATGAAGCGGTAGTTTTCAAGTTAACACCTCCTTTTTACCTTTAGTTCAGTTGAGATCGGCAAATCCACGGCTGAAATGATCCTAGTGAAGGTGTGTGGAGTTTAAAAACACGGTGGAGATCTTCCTGTATCACCACATGATGACATCACAAGGTGGAACAGCGTGTTTTCCATTTGAGTGAAGAACTCAGCCTAAATGTTCAGGGTTTGTGTGTTAAACATGTGAATGAAACAAAAAAAAAAAAACACAACTCCAGGTCTGTTTGTGATGAGGAAACAACATAATAACCCAGATCAGAAAACGGTGTCATGTGGGATCTTAAATCACATTTTTGCGAACACAAATATGTATCTGGAAGTTGAAAGTTGTATTTCTTGAGTAGTACAACAAACCACTAAAAGGGAAGGAAGCCAGTTTCATAAAAATTTCCCATGAACCAATAATGCTGTGAGCAATATGAAGGATTATGAAATAAGTGAAGAAACAAAACACGGCAAACTCACACGAGACATTTTTATGATTTTGTTGTAAACTCTGAGATAGATTTTGTATCAAAGCTCCCATATTACACAAAAGTGACTCTTGTGAGCTTTAAATCATGTTCTAATGTTGTTGTCTCATCAAAAACAGACCTGGAGTTGTGTTTTATTATATAGTATTTTTTTACTTTTAATCTGTCTATGTTTCCAAAACAGTACAAATCTGTTCCACCTCGTGATGTCATGAGTCAGCTCCTTTTACTTTCACTTCAGTAGAGTTTGATAGTTCCAGGGCTGAAATCATCCAGATGATTCTAGTAAATGGAGTTTAAACACACAGTGGAGCACTTTCTGTTTTACAGAGAACTCTGCTTAATACTGCAAGATTTGTGTGTCATGGAGCTTTCACCTCGATAGTTTGATTATTTGGGCCACACCAGGCAATAAAATAGTTCTTATGTAGCATCTAGACTCCAGTTTGGTTTCACACCGGATAACCAACTAAAATTGGTCCGAGTGACATTTATTCCAAGGCTCGTGAACACAGCGGGTTCGACTGCACGTGGCTCAGGGAGGCTGAGGTTCTCCCGCACACCAGACCCCTCAGAAGTGAAGCCGAGATGCACCGTCTCCCCACAGAGTCGACCTCTGCCTCCCGGGGCCAGAGGAACCTGTGCATCATTCGTTCATTTGTTTTTCAATATAAAACCAAAAATAAGAAAATGATAAAAACAACTGTTTTCTTCATTATTTGTGTCCAAAACCAAAAAAAACCAAAAAAAAAACAGATAATGATTTGTTTTTTTCAGTTTTCAATTTTGTGTTTAAGTGAAAAATGGAAAAAATGTTTCCTGTTTATGTGACTTTAACTGCGATGCCGGACTGAACCAGGACTAAACCAGGACTGAACCAGGACTAAACCAGGACTGAACCAGGACTGAACCAGGACTGAACCAGGACTGAACCAGGACAGAGACCAGGACAGGACCGGGACAGAGACCGGGACAGAGACCGGGACAGAGACCGGGACAGAGACGGGACAGGAGACCGGGACAGAGACCGGGACAGAGACCCGGGAGCAGGCCGAGGCCGGGACCGAGACTGGGACCAGACCAGGATTGAAAACAGTTTAGTCCTGATTTTGTCCTGTTTTAGTCCTGGTTCTGTCCGGCATCACAGTTTAAGTCACGTAAAGGGAAAACCGACCATTATCTGTTTTTTCCATTTTTCATTTAAACACAAAAACTGAAAACTGTAAAAACAAATCGTTATGTTTTTTTCATTTTGGTTTTGGATACAAATAATGAAGAAAACAGTTGTTATTTCATTTTCTTATTTTTGTTTTTTTTATATTGAAAAACGAAATGAACGACTGACACACGGATTGATTGGACCTACAGAGTTTTGTATTTGTTGCGATGTCAAGCAGACCGAGATCACCTATTTTTTTTTGAGGTCTCAGTCCCTTGATTTAGTGCAGATCCGAGTGTGACTGAAGCTTTTACACCAACGAAAACAAACCCAACTAAGAGCTTCTGGTTTGGTTGGAACGTTTGGTGCAACAACTGATGTCGGTGTGAAAGAACCCAAAAACATGAGAATGAAGCAAAACAAAACTCCAGATCTTTTAGTGACGAGGAAACGACATTAGAACAGAGATCAGAGAATAGTTTAACACTTATATATGCTCTTTAAGTGATTGTTCTTTCCTTTATAATTCTTGTTGTTGTAAACGTTTAGGAGCTGGTGAGGCTTCTGCAGCAGACCCTCCGGACCTCTCAGTGTGACTGGCAGGCTTTACGACGAGGACCTCAGACCTCCGCTCCGTCGGACCCGAACTCGCCCGCCCCCGAGCACCCGGAGCCCCCCCCCGCCGTCGCTCCGGAGGCCCCGTCCCAGCTGGAGCGCCTCCTGCAGGACAGAGACGCGCAGATCCAGTCTCTGTGTGGACACATGGAGCGTCTGGCTCTGGAGAAGGACAGTCTGCAGAAGGAGCTGAAGGGGCTGAAGCTCAAAGTCGGGGAGATGAACGAGCAGCTGGGGATGCTCATGGAGACCATCCAGGCCAAGGACGAGGTCATCATGAAACTGTCCCAGGAACAGAGCTCGGAGGGCGGGCACAGCGAACCCGGGTCCCCCCCCTTCACCAGGGACCAGAACGAAGTGGACATCCTCAAGGTGCTCCGCTCTGTTTGGATTTTACACACAATGTTATTCTCACACGGTTGATTAAATATTTAGAAAAACAAATACATAAAGTAACTGGGTTCGGTCAAGTGGTAACGGAGGGAAACGGGGGCAGATTTTTGACATTCAAATGTCTCTTATTCAGAAACTAGAGGAACTTTTGAAATAAGTAAAGTATCAGAATGTAGGAAAGAGTTACACTCCAACAGGGTCAAGTTAAACCTGTGAGATTCTTTCAAGTTGTTGACAAAAAAATAAAAAAACTCATGTCGGTAACGGAGGGAATGAAATATGCAGCACTTTTTGGTCAATAAATCCAAACAGTGATAACTCTTGGTTCTCACTTACATATCCTTAACAAACTGGTTTGAATATTTGCTTCATATAGTTTTCTACCATATGGTACAAGATTAGGTTGAAAAACCTCTTACTTTTTGACTAATGAGATTTTTTATTAAGAAAGGTCATGGTAACGGAGGGAAAAGTAACGGAGGGAAAATTGTGCAAACAAGTAGAAGGTGCAGGATTTTAAAATAATTTGTCAGTTTTTTTCTTCTGAATACTTTAATATTACTTCAAAATGAAAAGAAACTATTTCTATAAGATATGTCAGTCCTTCCAAGCAAATTTTTATCATTTTAAATAAATTTTTATTTTTTTTAAAAATCATGTTCCTTCATCAACAGTTCAAAGATGGAATAACACAAGATATGATGAAATACATCCATTTATTTACATGATTTGCAGGTGAAATTTGGGAAATAATTTTTGTTCCATGTTTCATACATGGTCTGTTTAAAACATATGGAACTTTAGAACCAAAAATGGTACAGAAAAAAGGTCAACAGTTTCATAAACTAGAGTACATATGTATCTGTTCAATACATTTTTATATCAGATGAATTAACTTGAAGTTTTGGCCTTGTTGTTTACTTCTGCTTGATCAGGAACAACAGTAATTCTAAACCTGTTAAATGTTTTAATAAGTCAAAATATTGGTTTAAATGTGTTTAAAATGAAGCTCAACAGTGATGATTTCTTATTCATTTTTCCCGCAGACTTAATATTTACTGTAAAATATTTGACAGCTTTGAAAAATCTATGAAACAAATTAATAGCAAATTAACTTTCTGAACTGTTGCAGACGTTTCAGTTTAAATCCTTGTTTGACAAATTACAGTAAAAGTTCGCTCTTGGTTTTTATTTAACTCTTTTTTTTTGCTGGATTATGAGACATTTTTATTATAAACAACATATATTCACATTTTTCAAACCCTTCATTGTTTTGAAGGTTTGAAAAATGTGAATATATGTTTACATTATAGATGATAATTACAAGGTACAATAGAACTTTTTCACAGCAACCGGAAGTGCCACGATGTAGGTAAACATCACTGAGGTTAATGGTTTTCTGTGGTTAAATGTGTGTGTAAATGTGTGGTTGAATGTGTGTATAAATGTGTGTGTAAATGTGTGTGTGTGTGTAAATGTGTGTCGTTTTCTCCAGCAGCTTCATAAATCTGCCACATCACCAAATCTTCAACCAACAAACTCCACAAAGGAGAAACATTCTAACATGAACAATTTATCCACAAATATCAAGAGAAGAAAGACCAAAACCTGAAGAAAACAACAACGATGATGCATTAGTGACAAACTGAACAAAACTAATGTTACGGTCATGAATAAAACAGAAGGAACTTGTTCACTCAGACTAGATTCTACAATTAAAATTAAAAATCAATGTCATGACCTAAACCAGAGGTGTCAAACTCAAATTCACAGAGGCCAAAAATAAAAACTGGGACTAAGTCATGGGCCAAACTAAATATTTATTTCAACACCATCTGCATGTTTTCTCTTCTTTCGAGATGTGTAATGTTAAACCTTTTCTTATTAAAAATAAATGTTTAATAATAGTTTTGTTTAAACACTGAATCCAGAACAAGCAGAATATAAAATAATAACAACATTTTAAATAAATAAATGTCTCTATAGTCGATCTGTGTGCGGTGTGCAGCTCTAATACAGATTTGACATGATCTCACGGGCCAAATATAATTATATCACGAGCCAAATTTGGTCCCTGGGCCTGAGTTTGACATGTGTGATGGTGCAGTTTAAATGCTACAGATGTTCACAGATCACTGCACAAATCTCTGTCTGTGCTAATATCGGCATCACACATGTCAAACTCAGGCCCAGGGACCAAATTTGGCTCGCAGTATAATTATATTTGGCCCATGAGATCATGTCAAATGTGTATTAGAGCTGCCCGCTGGTGACGGATAGACTATAGGCGAGTTTCAGCTGACGTCATTGTTATTAAAAGCCCGCGTTGCTGCTGGGAAATATTTTGGTCGGAGGCAAGAAACACGGTAGCGTCAAACACAGTGCGTAACCTCGTGTATTTATCCTCGATAATGGTAAATTCCTGCTGCATTATCGGATGCACAAATAGAAACACGGAAGAAGGAAAATGTCTTTTTCGTATTCTGAGTGAAAAGAACCACTAACGGTGAATTAAACGACTTTCAAACATCCGCAGAGCAAACGTAGAAGATCCTAACAAACCGTGGACTCCAACAAGTTCAACAACACATCGAGACTCTTGGAGGTTTTCATCTTTTCTGCTGTGAATGGCCCAGGAGTTTCCACCAAGTCATTGTGGATGTCGCCCAAGTGAATATTTGTCCAGGTAGTTGGCGATTCTGACCAGAAATTTGGTTTGTCCACCTTTTGTCGGGGTTGAAAAGGGTGATTTGTCGTCCGTCGATGCTTATGACCAATTTCTGGTCAAATGGTCTTGGGTCCTCTGCCGTTAGAGTGGATAAATAACCGGGATCAATACCCTTTACGTGCTTTCTCGCTCCGTCCGTCATGTTGAATTAGTGTTTCTTGCCGCCGACCAAAATAATTCCCAGCATGCAACGCGCACTTTTGTCAACAATGAAACTCGCCTATAGAGACATTATTTATTTAAAATGTTGTTATTATTTTATATTCTGCTTGTTCTGGATTCAATGTTTAAGCAAAACTATTATTAAACATTTATTTTAATATGTAATGTTAAACCTTTTCTTATCTCGAAAAAAGAGAAAACATGCAGATGTTGTTGGAATTTTTCAATAAATATTTAGTTGTGGATAAATTGTTCATGTTAGAATGTTTATCCTTTGTGGAGTTTGTTGGTTGAAGATTTGGTGATGGGGCAGATTTATGAAGCTGCTGGAGAAAACGACACATTTACACACACATTTACACACACATTTTGACACAGAAAACCATTAACGCAAGTGACGTTTACCTACATCACTGCACTTCCTGTCATTGTGAAAAAGGTCTGTGATGCTCCGTGTTTGTGCAGCACGGTGAAAAGAGTCATTTTGTCTGAATAAAAAAACAGATATTATTTATAAGAAATTTAGATCTCAGTTAAACCAGTGCAGGTGTTTCTGATACTCTGTCATTTCTGCTCTCAGTCTCTTTGGTTTTTGACTTAAACCGTTTTATTTTCTGTGTATTTCAGGACAGTCTTCAGGGCTACAAAACGCAAAACAAGTTTCTGAACAAAGAGATTCTGGAGCTGACGGTTTTACGCCGGAACTCGGAGAGCAGAGAGAGAGCCCTGGAAGCAAAGGTAACGCTTCTGAAAGAGGAAGTGTGACTGAAGTGTGACTGCAGACGCTCTCCACTCTCCACTCTGACATTTGTGTTCATATTTGTATGTTTGAATGTGTGTTTTTGTCAGAGTCATTTGAGTTTGAGTATCTGCCGATCAGTGTTGGGAAGGTGACTTTTAAAATGTAATCCCCTACAGATTACAGATTACATACACCAAAATGTAGTTTGTAACAGAATCCATTAAATTACTTCAAGTGAGTAATGTAATCTGATTACTTTGGATTACTTGATTTGCTGTAGAGAAACAAAGACGAGGAAATCTTCACATAAGAAGTTTTGTCTGATAAAAGAAAATATAAAGCCCAGACTTTCCTTAATCGTATTAGAAATATTATTGATAGAAGAAGAGGAGGAGACACGGTCCACGGGGCAGAGTTTAGACCTGTTAAATCCTGGCGTATACCTGGTTTAGACCTGGTTTAGACCTGGTTTAGACCTGGTTTAGACCTGGTTTAGACCTGGTTTAGACCTGGTTTAGACCTGGTTTTAAGACCTGGTTTTAGACCTGTTTTAGACCTGGTTTAGACCTGGTTTTAGACCTTTTAGACCTGGTTTTAGACCTGGTTTAGACCTGGTTTTAGACCTGGTTTAGACCTGGTTTAGACCTAGTTTAGACCTAGTTTAGACCTAGTTTAGACCTGCTTTTTTAGACCTGGTTTAGACCTGATTTAGACCTAGTTTAGACCTGGGTTTAGACCTGGGTTTAGACTTGGTTTTAGACTTGGTTTTAGACCTAGTTTAGACCTGGTTTAGACCTGGATTTAGACCTGGGTTTAGACCTGGTTTAGACCTGGTTTAGACCTGGGTTTAGACCTGGGTTTAGACCTGGTTTAGACTTGGTTTTAGACCTGGTTTAGTGTCCGGCAATGAGTGGAATTACGAAAAAAAAAAAAAAAAAAAAAAAAAAAAGGGGGGGGATACAGCCCAAAATGTAAAATCAGGAAACTACTGCAGTGTAATCTATTTATTTCAACAAAGTAACTGTAATCCAATTACCACTCACTGAAACAGTAACTGTAACTGAATACAGTTACTCATAATTTGTACTCTGATTACATAAGTCCAGTACATGTAATCTGTTACTCCCCAACGCTGCTGCCGATACCGAGTCCTGATCCAATTCTTCTATAAAACATGGCAAAGAATCAGATCCAGGACGTGGAGGATCAGATTGTGTTGATTTCATTTGTTGTATTTGGGCTGAACTTGTGAAAAATCAAATGTCTGAATCTTGACCTTTCACAGTCTGGTCTTGGAATGTGTAACTTAGTAAACTTGATGAACTGGACAAAACAGGAACCAGACCAGAACCAGATCAGACCTGAAACTCGACTCTGCACAATCTACACTTTGTATATTTGATATTATATGTTTACACGTGCGTTATATTTGAAACATTTAGGCTCGTCTACGAAATCCAAATAAAACAAAATCTTACCAAATAAAAACGAGTTGACAGAAGCCCCACAGCCTCTCTCCCCTCCCCTGCACCGCAACATCGGTCCCACCTCTCAATAAACACTGCACGTCTCTGTTCCCACGCTCTCCGCCAAAAACTCCGCTACGCAACGTACAAACAAACAGCGCCGTGCGACGTCCCAGAGCGAGTGCGTCTCTAGTACAGCAGGCGCAAATCCTACGCCGCAGTTAAAAGAAAAAAAAAACAAAAGTGTCGTGTCCTGTGTGTTATATACGAACCAATAGAGGCTTTGCACCGTCACGTGACCCTATAGCAACGGTAACTACGCCGCCATGACACCGGACACGATATGTCATTGACTTCAGCAGCATCGGAGAAACATGGGCAGGTTTTGTTGTGTATTTGGTTGTTCTAGACGCTCTGAAAGGGACATAACGAATTGTTTCTTCACTGTTCCTCTGGAAATGACTCATCAGGATCAAACAATCGAATTATCGAAAAAAGACGCGGATTATGTCTAGAGAACATAAACCACGAAGAGATTTCCAATGTTACCATCAAGACACACGAAGTTTCATCAAGGTATTTGCTATTTAAATTGTTTCATAGTTTATTTAATGAGAGAAGCACATTTACTGAACTAAAATGTCATAAATTTATCCAGGAAAACCTGCACTAGTTTATGATTCAACGAACCCACACTGGGCTCCTGTGATCAACATGACGCACGAGTCGAAGAGTCTGTGAGTCGAACCTCGAAGGAATCGGCCATGAAAAGATCCTCGCCAACGTTAGAAAGATCCACTCACAAAAAGCGATTAATTCTAGAAGACACAGTTGTGGATAAACAAGACAATAAAGAAAACATGGTCCTACGACGAGTGACATGTTTATATGTGCTGGAACATACAGTTTCTACTGCCGCTCACACTGCAAATGTTTTCTTTTTACATTTTAGTTCAGTAAATGTGCTTCTCTCATTAAATAAACTATGAAACAATTTAAATAGTAAACACCTTGATGAAAGTGACGTGAGTCTGTCTTGATGGTAACCATTGGAAATCTCTTCACGGTNGTTATATTTGAAACATTTAGGCTCGTCTACGAAATCCAAATAAAACAAAATCTTACCAAATAAAAACGAGTTGACAGAAGCCCCCACAGCCTCTCTCCCCTCCCCCCCTGCACCGCAACATCGGTCCCACTCTCAATAAACACTGCACGTCTCTGTTCCCACGCTCTCCGCCAAAAACTCCGCTACGCAACGTACAAACAAACAGCGCCGTGCGACGTCCCAGAGCGAGTGCGTCTCTAGTACAGCAGGCGCAAATCCTACGCCGCAGTTAAAAGAAAAAAAAAACAAAAGTGTCGTGTCCTGTGTGTTATATACGAACCAATAGAGGCTTTGCACCGTCACGTGACCCCTATAGCAACGGTAACTACGCCGCCATGACACCGGACACGATATGTCATTGACTTCAGCAGCATCGGAGAAACATGGGCAGGTTTTGTTGTGTATTTGGTTGTTCTAGACGCTCTGAAAGGGACATAACGAAATTCGTTTCTTCACTGTTCCTCTGGAAAATGACTCATCAGGATCAAACAATCGAATTATCGAAAAAAGACGCGGATTATGTCTAGAGAACATAAACCACGAAGAGATTTCCAATGTTACCATCAAGACACATGAAGTTTCATCAAGGTATTTGCTATTTAAATTGTTTCATAGTTTATTTAATGAGAGAAGCACATTTACTGAAACTAAAATGTCATTAATTTATCCAGGAAAACCTGCACTAGTTTATGATTCAACGAACCCACACTGGGCTCCTGTGATCAACATGACGCACGAGTCGAAGAATCTGTGAGTCGAACCTCGAAGGAATCGACCATGAAAAGATCCTCGCCAACGTTAAAAAGATCCACTCACAAAAAGCGATTAATTCTAGAAGACACAGTTGTGGATAAACAAGACAATAAAGAAAACATGGTCCTACGACGAGTGACATGTTTATATGTGCTGGAACATACAGTTTCTACTGCCACTCACACTGCAAATGTTTTCTTTTTACATTTTAGTTCAGTAAATGTGCTTCTCTCATTAAATAAACTATGAAACAATTTAAATAGTAAACACCTTGATGAAAGTGACGTGAGTGTGTCTTGATGGTAACATTGGAAATCTCTTCACGGTTTATGTTCTCTAGACATAATTCCCGTTTTTTTCTGATAATTCCCTTGTTTGATCCTGATGAGTCATTTCCAGAGGAACAGTGAAGAAACGATTCATTTTATCCCGTTCAGAGCGTCTAGACCACAGGTGTCAAACATACGGCCCGGGGGCCAGATCCGGCCCTCCAAGACCTTTAATCTGGCCCTCGGCTGATTTTCTACTAAAATATTTTAATTATATTTTCTATTAAAATCTTGTTAATTTTCTGTGGTGTTTATCACAGCAGCGTCTCCAGCGTCTCTGTACGTGGCCCCTCCCACCAGAGCAGCACAAATGAAGACTTGTCTCTTTCCAAACGCTCTTAAAGGACGATCGTTTTGACTGTTGACCGTGACACCCTCATCAGAAAAATGTCCAACATGAGAAAAGTGGAGCCGAGTGCAGGATTTTACAACAAAAATTGACTTATTCCTGTTTACAGACAAGTTCATGTTAAAACTTTGTGTTGAAATTGTATTTTTCTTAAAGTTTCAGGTTGTTCATAATATTATAATATTTTGTAAAACAAAGAGTTCATCAATTAAAAAAGATTTCTGTAATAGATTTGTGTTTCCCTGCACAAATATTTAAACTTATTGTTATTTTTAAGGTTTATATGACATGAGTTTTCTGATCCGGCCCCTTTAGGATCAAAGTCGGTTGGATACGACCCCCAGACCAAAATGAGTTTGACACTCCTGGTCTAGAACAACTAAATACACAACAAAACCTTCCCATGTTTCTCCAATGCTGCTGAAGTCAATGACATATCGTTCCCGGTGTCATGGCGGCGTAGGTACTGTTGCTATAGGGTCACGTGATGGTGCAAAGCCTCTATACCTGATCGGCACATAATGTCAGAGTCCGCAGTCCGTGATCGGATCAGGACGACCCTAGTGTGTGTGTGTGTTTGTGTTGATGTAGTTGTGTGTGTTGTGTGTGTTTCTGCAGTGCACGGCTCTGGAGGCGAAGCTGTGTCAGGTGGAGAGTAAATACCTGGTGCTGCTGCAGGAGGTGAAGACTCCGGTGTGCGGCTCCGAGCAGAGTCCAGCTCGAGAGGTGATCTCCAGACTGTTGGAGGACGCGCTGCAGGGAGAAGGACCCGAGCACGACCAGCTCCTGCTCAAACCCAACACTGTCAGGTGTGTGAGACTACACAACGACACACAACGACACACAACTACACACAACGACACACAACTACACACAACACACAACACACACAACTACACACAACTACACACACACAACTACACACAACTACACACAACTACACACAACTACACACAACTACACACAACTACACACAACTACACACAACAACACACAACTAACACACAACTACACACACAACTACACACAACTACACACAACTACACACAACTACACACAACGACACACAACTACACACAACTACACACAACTACACTACACACAACAACTACACACAACTACACACAACTACACACAACGACACACAACTACACACAACTACACACAACTACACACAACTACACACAACTACACACAACTACACACAACTACGACAACACAACGACACACAACGACACACAACGACACACACAACGACACACAACGACACACAACTACACACACAACTACACACAACTACACACAACTACACACAACTACACACAACTACACACAACTACACACAACTACACACAACTACACACAACTACACACAACTACACACAACTACTGCTCAAACCCAACACTGTCAGGTGTGTGTGAGACTACACAACGACACACACACAACTACACACAACTACACACAACTACACACAACTACACACAACTACACACAACTACACACAACTACACACAGCTCCTGCTCAAACCCAACACTGTCAGGTGTGTGTGACTACACAACGACACACAACTACACACAACTACACACAACGACACACAACTACACACACACACAACTACACAACAACTACACAACTACACACAACGACACACAACTACACACAACTACACTCAAACACACAACACTGTCAACTACTACAACAACTACACACAACTACACACAACTACACACAACTACACACAACTACACACAACGACTACAACACCTACACAACTACACACAACTACACACAACTACTGCTCAAACCCAACACTGTCAGGTGTGTGTGAGACTACACAACTACACACAACTACACACAACTACACACAACTACACACAACTACACACAACTACACACAACTACACACAACTACTGCTCAAACCCAACACTGTCAGGTGTGTGTGACACACAACGTACACACAACTACACAACTACACACAACTACACACAACTACACACAACTACACACAACTACACACAACTACACACAACTACACACAACTACACACAACTACACACAACAACTACACACAACTATACACACAACTACACACAACTACACACAACTACACACAACTACACACAACTACACACAACACACAACTACACACAACACACAACTACACAACTACACACAACTACACACAACTACACACAACTACACACAACTACACACAACGACACACAACGACACAACACACACAACTACACACAACTACACACAACGACACACAACGACACACAACGACACACAACTACACACAACTACACACAACTACACACAACTACACACAACTACACACAACTACACACAACTACACACAACTACTGCTCAAACCCAACACTGTCAGGTGTGTGTGAGACTACACAACTACACACAACTACACACAACTACACACAACTACACACACAACTGACACACAACTACACACAACTACACTACACACAACTACACACAACTACACACAACTACACACAACTACACACAACTACACACAAACACACAACTACACACAACTACACACAACTACACACAACTACACACAACTACACACAACTACACACAACACACACACAACTACACACAACTACACACAACACACAACTACACACAACTACACACAACTACACACACAAACACACACACAACTACAACACACACACAACACACAACACACAACTACACAACTACACACGACACACAACGACACACACACAACTACACACAACTACACACAACTACACACAACGACACACAACGACACACAACGACACACAACTACACAACTACACACACACACAACACACACACACACACAACTACACACAACTACACACAACTACACACAACGACACACACAACTACACACAACTAACACACAACTACACACAACTACACACAACTACACACAACTACACACAACTACACACAACTACTACACACAACTACACACAACTACACACAACTACACACAACTACACACAACTACACACAACTACACACAACTACTGCTGAAACCCAACACAGTCAGGTCTGTGTGCGTCTACACAACTCTATACAACTACACAACAGTATACAGCTCTGTACAAACCCAACACTGTCAGGTTTATGTGCAACTATACAACTTCACAACTGTACACAACTGTACACAGTTGTACACAACTTAATCCAACTGAATACAACTGTGTATGTGACTAGATTAGAATGGTACACAACTGTATACAACAATATAGAGCTGAACACAACAGTATACAGCTCTGTACAAACCCAACACTGTCAGGTCTGTGTGCGACTATACAACTCTGCACAACTGTACACAACTGTACACAACTCTACACAACTACACAACTACACACAACTACACAACTCCACAGCTGTACTCATACGTGTGCAGTATGTGTGAAAACAGTTTCTCACTCGTCTGTTCTTTTTCCTCTTTCTTCGTGTTTGTTGTTTCACTCTGAGTTCTATAAAAACACTGAGTCTCGAGCTTCCAGTTTTAAAAGCAGAACTTTCAGATCAATAATTCTAAATAAAAGTGTCTGTGGTTGTGCAGCTGTTTGTCACCGAGACTTTGGTCCCTGTCACCAGATCTGAAGTCTGCACCTGCCACTCTCTGTTTACACGAGCACAGACGAGTTTAAGGCCCACAGAGATATTCTAACCTTCATCTACACACAGATCCATCGTTTTACTTATTATTAATGTTCCATAATTGTTCCACTTTAAAATTTCCTCACAACAACACTGAGATACTCTGTTTGCATTTACTGAGTCCATGTTCTATTTTCTGATCTGTTATAATGTCGTTTCCTCGTCACAAACAGACCTGGAGTTGTGTTTTGTTTCTTTCACACGTTTAACACACAAACCTGCAGATTTAGACTCGAGACTCAAACATGTGAGTGAAAAAAAACACAACTCCAGGTCTGTTTTTGAGGAGGGAACGACTTTATAACACGACTTAAAAATCCGTGTATCGTTTGTTCATTTGGTTTTCAAAATAAAACCAAAACTAAAATGAAAAAACAACAATTTTCTTCTTTATTTGTCTCCAAAACCAAAATGAAAAAAAAACTGATAATGATTTGTTTTTTCAGTTTTCGATTTTGTGTTTAAATGAAAAATGTAAAAAACGGATAACGACTGTTTCCCGTTTATGTGACTGAAACTGAGATGCCGGACTGAACCGGGACTGAGACCGGGACTCAGACCGGGACTGAGACCAGGACCAGACCGGGACCAGACCGGGACCAGACCGGGACCAGACCAGGACCAGAAATGAGACTGCGACTGAAACTGGAACCAAAACCACATAAATGGGAAACGGTCGTTTACATGACTTAACTTGAGATGCCGGACTGAACCAGGACTGAGACTGGGACCGGGACTGAGACCGGGACCGGGAATGGGACCGAGACCGGGAATGGGACCGGGAATGGGACCGAGACCGGAAACGGGAATGGGACCGAGACCGGGAACGGGAACGAGACCAGGAACGAGACCGGGAACGAGACCGGGAACGGGAACGAGACCAGGAACGAGACCAGGACTGAAACCGGAACCAAAACCAGGACTGAGACCAGTTCAGTCCTGGTTCAGTCCTGGTTCAGTCCTGGTTCAGTCCTGGTTCAGTCCTGGTTCAGTCCTGGTTCAGTCCTGGTTCAGTCCTGCATCTCAGTTTAAGTCACATAAACAGGAAACGGTTGTTATTTGTTTTTTTACATTTTTCATTTAAACACAAAATTGAAAACTGAAAAAACAAATCATTATCAGTTTTTTCATTTTGGTTTTTGGAGACAAATAATGGAGAAAATAGTTGTTCTTTCGTTTTCTTATTTTTAGTTTTATATTGAAAAATGAATGATTGAACGATACACGGATTCTTAAACCTCACAAGAATCAGTTTTGCGTAAGATCAAATCTTTTAAATCACTTGATAAAATGTGATCTGTACCATTTCTCCCGTTTTCTTTTTTTTCTTCAGTGAATACGACGTGTTCGGGTTCAAGACGGTGCCGGAGGAGGAGGAAGAGGAGGAGAGGCTGGTGGCGAAGGTGCGCGCGCTGGAGCTGAAGACTTTGGCGATGACGGACCAGGAGGTGTCTGTGGGCGTGAAGTGGGAGAACTACCTGACGGGAACCATGAACCGAAACCTGACCCGCTCCCCCGAACTGAAGAGTCTGGTGCGCTGCGGTGAGTCTGGACGAGCAACGGTTCTGAAAAAATATGTCTGTATTAGGGTTGGGCAGTGTGGGTTTTTTCGGAAGGTTCAATGCGTGTCCTAAAAAGAAGCACAGGAGATGGAGAATCCGAGAGAACAGGCCACTTTATTACAGCATTTTCCATTGAGAGAGATTCAAGTTGATTACCAAGTACAACTGTCACCCCGGAACGACGCCTCTGACCAACTCAAAATCAGGGGTAGCTTTATACTACATCTTGACAAAACATTAACTTGTTGATTTAGCATAACAGCAAGAAAATGAACAATACTGCTGACCCAGTGCACCTTATCATGGGTGGGAACATGCCACGGGGTCCACATATGTCAGTTTTTCTGCTTCGTGGCATCTCAAAGTCCAGAAAAACATGTTCTTTATGGCACTCAAAGTACAGAAAAACATGTTCTTTATGGCACTCAAAGTACAGAAAAACATGTTATATAGACCTATAGATAGTCATACGTGTTTTCCACCCTGTTGTCATTCCAAAGTCCATAATATTGGGTGAATTAGCATGACCAACACATAATATTTCCCACAGCAGTATCCAAATTTTGATACCGTTAAACCTTCTCAGGATTTTATCGGGGTATATATAGTGTTACCGTATTACCAAAATGTTTTAGTACGACTTTGGTAAACTACGAAGCCGCATCACTGTACGATCTGTGTGTACGACCTGCAGACTTATAATCTCTGAAAAGTTTCACATGAACCATCTCCAACACGATACACACACAGAACAGACTCACCATCAGCAGAACACCCCTCTGTCACAGAAAGAACACTCATATCCCACTGAGTCGTGTCCTTTTTAAGTCCGACAGAAGCTGAACCACATCAGCGGACAAAGAAAGAGCTGTTTTTGTCAGTGCTTTATAATTGATGCAAATGAGTCATGTGGTTTTAAGTTTCGTTTCTGTAAAATGTAAACAAATGTGTGACTGAAGCCAAAATGGTGCAAATTGCAGAAGTATTAGTATTTTTCATTTTTATTTTTTTGGCCTAACTCGCTTGCGGTTTGTCTTGTCTTGTCTTGGTCTCTTCTTCTGAACACGTGACAACGGAACGAAACAAATCGAACGTAAGAAACAGAAACACTTTTAGTTTTAAATCGTGATAACATTAAACTGAAAATACAAACACACATTCATTTGTGCTGAGCAAACTAATTTAGGTATCAATAAATTATAATATTATATTAGGTCCTTATGTGCCGCAGATTTTTTTAATAACGGTAATTACTTTTCTATTATTATTCTATGATTGTTGTATGATAATTACTATTTCATTATTATTATTTTTATTATTATTACACTTAGTGCTGTCATGCGATTAAAAAAATTTTAGAGATTAATTAATTATGATCTGTAATTAATTAATCTAATTAATCTCATTTTAATCTCACCTAAAAATTGCTGAGTAAAGCTTCAATTTGAGGTATTTTCATTTAAATTCATTATTACATTATTGTGGCAGATCAAAAGACTGATATAGAACAAAAAAAGTGACTTTATAAAGTCATTTATTGTTTAACAAATCTCTCCAAATTGGTTGTTGAGCCCAAGTCTCCATGAATAAGAAACTGTTTGCTGTAAAGTAGTAAAGACGAGGAAATCTGAACATAATAACTTTTGTCTACTTAAAGACAATAAAAAGTCCAGTTTAACCTTAACCTTAACCATATTAAAAATATTATTGATAGAGAAATGCTTTATACATGAGATCACTGCTTTTAGTCCTTGTTTTAGTCCTGGTTTAGACCTGCTTTAGTCCTACTTTAGTCCTAGTTTAGTCCTGGAATGGATTAATTAAAGTTTTAGTCCTGGTGTTAGTTCTGGTTTAGTTCTGGTTTAGTCCTGGTTTAGTCCTGGTTTAGTCCTGGTTTAGTCCTGGTGTTAGTTCTGGTTTAGTCCTGGTTTTAGTTCTGGTTTTAGTTCTGGTGTTAGTTCTGGTTTAGTCCTGGTTTAGTCCTGGTTTTAGTTCTGGTTTTAGTTCTGGTTTTAGTTCTGGTTTTAGTTCTGGTTTTAGTTCTGGTTTTAGTTCTGGTTTTAGTTCTGGTTTAGTCCTGGTTTAGACCTGGTTTTCGCAATTAACGCGATAATTTGACACCCCTAATTACACTATATGATTGTCTTTGTTTTTTGAATTATGGGGTTTTGCCTGCACTGTTCCTTTATTATTTAAGACGGCCACCTGAGCTCTCATTCTGTTTGCCTGACGAAGGCCTAGTGCCGAAACGTTACACGGTTTGTCCTAATAAATTTCACTATTTGCAAGTAAGACGGTGTGCGGGATTTTTCTCCATGTTCTTGTGCTGCTCCGTCTCCTCCAACGCACCGTCTCTAGTAACTGATTATTCATTCTTTTTAATGATGGTAATGAAAGTAATACTGTCGCTACTGCCAATCTGAAAATAAGAATACAGAATACCGTAACACTGTATTACTGCCCAACCCTAGTTTGAAATGTTTTTATTCTGAATTTCAGTCACTGAATTTTTATATTGAATGTGTTTACATGTGCGTGAGTGTCCTGGTTATGAGTCTTGTATCTCGGTTATGACTCTTATCCTAGTTCTGTATGTGGTGTTTACCTGCGCTCAGAGAAACCAGGACACTCATGTCTCTGTGCACATGAGGAATCCGAGTATCCTGGATGTTTAGACTGGTTTCTAACAACAAAAAAGAAGACAAACATTCAAGTAAGAACATGAGACTGTGGAGCTTTGTCACAGCTTCAGTTAAAGTCGTTTTTAACAGTTGACAGTGTCACAGAGTGAGTTTAGTCCTAGAGCAGCACAAACCACCACAGAGTTGAGTCTGGTGTTCAAATGTGGCTCTATTAAAGGTAATTTAATCTTTCTGCAGGTGGAAAAGTACCTAAACTCCTCCAGAAATTACCTATGAGAGCTCATTTTCCAAAATTCCATTTGAAATGAAGGAAGTTAATAGTAGATGTTTTTATTACTTTAAACTAATCAGAATATGTCAAAGTTTCTCTGGTAAAAAAAATTAACTATCTAACTGTGCCCACATGGGGAACAGAGGCTCCAAAGAAGGGGCCAAAAAGATCAACATTTGGTCTGTGACCATATTTGAGGCTCTACACCGTCCACATGAAAGCTCCGAAAAGAGTGAGATTGTGTCAGAAATGTTCATTCTCTCAAATATTCAGGTTCAACTGTGAGTTTGTAAATATCTGCTTGAAGTAAAATTTGAAAGCAAAATTGAGCAGCAACCAAATGTGAGATTTTGGGGGCCCACAGTGCCCCCCTTAATAAAGATACTCAATATTTTGGAATCTATGACCCAAAATCTACATTAATACAAATTTTCAGCTCTGTAGCTCTGTTTTTTTATGGTCTCTCAAAAATGCTTCTAAATTAAGGCTTCCGAAAAAATGAGCATGGCCCAAAAATTTCAACAGGCCATAACTCAGGAACGACTGAAGGGATTGAGCTAAAATTTTAGATTCTTTCATTTGATCATTTTAGAAATTTTTTAGAAATTTTTTCAGTCAAATCTGAGATGGCTCATAGGGAAGAGTGACTTTATTGCTTTATTTTGTTTCTAAGTATAAATTATGATTACTTAAAAAGTCCTGGTAGGAGTTTGAGTCGTTTTGCGTCCACGATCTTGTGGGAATTTTGTCTTGCGAGATCTTGTGGCACGAGATCATGTCCCACCTCTTCTCATTTTCGATCGATTGCTTAGGTCTTTGTTGTTGGCTGTTGATTTTGAGGCCTTGAAAATATTTGTGCTGAATGTTTAAAAGTTGATTGAACAGATTCTCTCCCGCAGGTGTGCCTCACGAACACCGCTCCAAACTGTGGCGGTGGGCGGTCTCCTTCCACGTCAAGAAGCTCCGCGAGCACCTCGCCCCAGATTATTACGAGACTTTACTGAACGTGGCCAAAGAGAAACCGAACCCGGCCTCCAAACAGATCGAGCTGGACCTGCTCAGAACTTTACCCAACAACAAGCACTACTCGTCCCCCAGTGCCGCCGGGATCCAGAAACTCCGCAACGTCCTCACACGGCGTTCTCCTGGAGGAACCCTGACATCGGATACTGCCAGGGACTCAACCGGTAAACAAATACATAAGTGTAGAATAGAAAAAAGGATGGCAGAGGCACTCTAATTTGCAGTGAATTTATTAATGGCCACGTCAACGAGTTTCAACTACTTGGTCTTTATCAGGGCTGATTGAGTGAGCAGCAGGTGTGACCATTTATAGGGTTAAAAAACACAAAATTTCCCGAAACATTTGCATGTTCAATCCAAGTGTATTGACAACAAACTATTCACAACACAACAGATAAATAACACTGTTCTGTATAAGTAAGTCCTTTAAAAATTTCTGTCTTTACCATTTTATAATTCTGTCTTTTCAAACTGCGATTTCTCTCTGACGGTGATTCGTCTTGTTCTTATTGTTCTGGTGTTATTTTAATACATCTCTAGTTAAAAAACAGTTGTTATTTTCAGACTGGCAGCCATCGCTTTGCTGTACCTGGACCAAGAGGACGCCTTCTGGACGCTCATCGCCATCGTAGAAGTTTTCATGCCGAGGGATTATTACACCAAAACTCTGCTCGGCTCACAGGTAAAAGGCTCCGCAGGCTCACGTTTATTTAATTACAAAACACATACTTTATATTTCGGACGATAATCACACTTTTTTTCATGGTTTGGGTGCTTCCTCCGACTTATACATTAACATTTACAGACTGACAGCCCCGAGAGGCTCTAGTCTTGTGTGTCAGTGTCTAGTACGACTGTTCCTCCTGTACCACTGTCACTTCACGCTCTACTGCGCATGTCTCCTCTAGAAATAGCCGCTGTCTCGCTGCAAATAGTGAAATCTGCAGCCGAAAACTGTAATAAAGCAGCAGAAAGAAAGTTTGGAGTGAGAGAGAAACTTGTGATTGTCTGGCGGAAAGCGGGGATGGAGAACACAGCTTCACGGTAACCGGGAGGGTTCGCAGTGAAACTTTCCTGAAGTCACTGGACGGATGGACAAAGCCTGAACTTCAGTGACACCGAAACCATCCTGTCGGGATTCAGAAAGACCCGAATAATTCTAACTGGAACTGACGCTGAGTCTGACGACAGCGACACAGAAGAGGAAGCAGCTCAATGTTTACATCATGAATCTTTGGTTTATCTCCGGAGGTCGTGGAGTTGTTCAGAAGTGACACCGAGGATGAAGAATTGAATGGATTTAGTGATTTGGAGTGAGATGGAGAGTTTGGTAAACTTGTTCTGTTCTGTTGTTTATGTTATAGTTTATCTGAGGAACTGTGAAATATGTGACATTAACAGTCTGTTGTTCTCTCTTCTGTTGTTATGACTAGAACTTGACTTTATACAGGAAATGTCAGTTCCTGGTCTCTGATTTTGCAAAATAAATTTCCCCGAAAAAGTAGCACTTATGTTTTTTCTTCTTCATTAAGCATTTTTGGCTGGTGCGACTTATACTCCGGAGCGATTTATACTCTGGAAAGTACAGTACATGAATAAATCGTTAGAATATTTAATCATATCTAAGGTTTAGGTCAATTTGCTTGTTATATCATGTATTCTGTACGTATTTTGTTTTATTAAAAAATTCAGTAGGATTCAGCGTGATGAAAATTTTCGACCGTTGTCATAGCGATTAACAATTTAAAACTATATACTGTATTATTTTTTGAATCGGCCTAAAAATGTTGCATAGAACAGGAAACGGAAACAAATGAAAGGAATTAGGCCTGTCACAATAATCACTACTGTATTTTTTGGACTATAAATGGCTCCGGAGTATAAGTCCCACAAGCTAAAAAATGCATAATGAAGAAGAAAAAAACATATATATAAGTCACGCTTTTTGGAGGAAATATAAAATCAGAGACCAGGAACCGACATTTCCTGTTGAAAGTCAAGTTGTAGTAAAAACAACAGAAGAGAGAACAACAGACTGTTAACGTCACATATTTCAGTTCTTCAGATAAACTATAACATAAACAACAGAACAAGTTTAACCAAACTCTCCATCTCACTCCAAATCACTAAATCCATTCAATTCTTCATCCTCGGTGTCACTTCTGAACAACTCCGACCTCGACCTCCGGAGGTAAACGGAGTCAGAATCAGCATCAGTTCCAGTTAGAATTATTCCGGCCTTTCTGAATCCCGACAGGATGTAACGAGATCCAAATCTCACGGTACGATATTTATTACAATATTTTGAAGAGGCTGATATAACTGTAGATAGGACACTTTTTTTTCTTATGATGCCTTGACAAGATTTTGGTGTGAATTATTTCTGTCATAATCTTGAGAATTCAAGTAAAAACATATTTCTTCATGTTGTCTGCGGTGAAATGAATCATGGGATTTGTAGTTCCTGATGTTTATAAGCTGCTGCTACTATAAAACAATGCACGATATTATTGTGAGACTTTTGACGATACGATATCACGGTATTTCGGTTGTTGTTACGTCCCTAGAATCCCGACAGGATGGTTTCGGTGTCACTGAAGTCCAGGCTTTGTCCATCCATCCAGTGACTTCAGGAAAGTTTCATGTTTCATCCTCCCGGTGTCACAAGTTTCTCTCTCACTCCAAACTTTCTTTCTGCTGCTCGATTTCCATTTTCAGCTGCAGATTTCATGTATAATATATGCGAAATATTTTAAATCCGGAGTATAAGTCGCTGAACCACCCAAACCGTGAAAAAAAGTGTGATTTATTGTCCGAAAAATACAGTTTTATTGTTTGATGTATGAAAACTGGGACAATATTTATGGTCTGTACTTTTTCTTTGCACTACTGGGAAATTTTGGGGTGTTTTTTTGGCTCTAGGCAAAGATTTGAGCCATAAAAGGTTGAATTAATAACTTGTATGACTTGGTATAGATGCAAACTAAGAACTAAAGTGTTTCATTCTGCTGTTATTTATAGCAGCTCATGTTTTGTTTTTTGTTTTTTGTGGTTTAAAATCTGCTATGGGGTTTTTGTGTCAGTACTGGGCTCGGTCAAGCAGAAGTAAACATCAAGGCCAAAAATTCAAGTTAATGCATCTGATATAAAAATGTATTGAACAGATACATATGTACTCTAGTTTATGAAACTGTTGACCTTTTTTCTGCACCATTTTTGGTTCTAAAGTTTCATATGTTTTAAACAGACCATGTATGAAACATGGAACAAAAATTATTTCCCAAATTTCAAAGACCTGAAAATCATGTAAATAAATGGATGTATTTCATCATATCTTGTGTTATTCCATCTTTGAACTGTTGATGAAGATACATGATTTAAAAAAAAAAAAAAAAAAAGTATTTAAAATGATAAAAATTTGCTTGGAAGGACTGACATATTTTATAGAAAGTTTCCTTTCATTTTGAAGTAATATTAAAATATTCAGAAGAAAAAAGCGACAAATGATGTAAAATCATGCACCTTCTACTAGGGCTGGTATCATTAAGAAGTTGCCGATACGATACATACCTCGATACACAGGCCACGATACGATACATATCTTGATACACTGCATTTTCGATTCAATATGATATATTTCAAATCGATTCGATACGGTTCAATAAAAAATAAAGTCTAAATCGTGGCTGTGATACTAAAGTCTTTGTTAAACCACTTCTTCTTGTGCAACATTCATATGAAACACAAATATTTTAATCATCAAAACAGAGAAAATGTCAAATGTGTCGCATAAATGAGTTTCCTTTCACTCCACAAGCAACAAAACTGTAGCTCTGTAACAAAATAATTTAGTAAAACACATGTAAAAATACTCTTGCTGATATATCGATACAGTAGCCCACGATATCGATACTGTATCATCACATTAAACGATACGATATATCGATATTCCGATATTTTTGCACACCCCTACCTTCTACTTGTTTGCACAATTTTCCCTCCGTTACTTTTCCCTCCGTTACCATGACCTTTCTTAATAAAAAATCTCATGACTCAAAAAGTAAGAGGTTTTTCAACCTAATCTTGTACCATATGGTAGAAAACTATATGAAGCAAATATTCAAACCAGTTTGTTAAGGATATGTAAGTGAGAACCAAGAGTTATCACTGTTTGGATTTATTGCCCAAAAAGTGCTGCATATTTCATTCCCTCCGTTACCGACATGAGTTTTTAAATTTTTTGTCAACAACTTGAAAGAATATCACAGGTTTAACTTGACCCTGTTGGAGTGTAACTCTTTCCTACATTCTGATACTTTACTTATTTCAATAGTTCCTCTAGTTTCTGAATAAGAGACATTTGAATGTACAAAATCTGCCCCTGTTTCCCTCCGTTACCACTTGACCGGACCCATATTAACACATGTTAACACTACTATAAATGAGTTTCCTTTATCGTATTTATTTATACAGTATCACACTTCAGATTGTGTTAACATGTCACGCCTAAATGGAAATAAACTTGTTTGGACAAATATATTTTCTGTATCCAGGTGGACCAGCGCGTGTTCAAGGACCTGATGAGCGAGAAACTGCCCAGACTCCACGCCCACTTCGAGCAGCACAAAGTGGACTTCTCCCTCATCACGTTCAACTGGTTCCTGGTGGTTTTCGTGGACAGTGTGGTGAGCGACATCCTCTTCAAGATCTGGGACGCCTTCCTGTACGAGGGGCCCAAGGTACGCAGCCCCAGAGACCCAAAGCTCCTCCTGCACTCCTCCTCCTCTGAGCTGAATAAGTGACACTTTAATCCTCACTTTAGGGCATTTCCTCCTCCTCCTCCTCTTCCTCCTCTTCCTCCTCAACTCTGAATCTGTCACACTTGAACCTGCTGTACACATGAGACAAACAGATCCAGACATGTTCAGTGTTTGAGAGGCGTCTGTCTGCACTCGCTCAGGCGCTTACACTAATTTCCGGACTATAAGCCTCTACTTTTTTCATACACTTTGAACTCTGCAGGTTAAACGACGATGCGGCAGATTATTTGTTTATGAACACAGCGGATACACGCGCAGCCTGAGCCTAAAATAAGTTCTGATGCCAAATGTAGATTAGTGAGTGGGTTGTAAAATCCCTCAGTCGTCCAGGTAAAATCCACGGCAAAAGGAGAAATTCAATTTGTCGAATGTTTCGCAGTTCATCCAAGATGCTTCTTCAGTTCTGGTCAGATGCAGATGGACACTTCCTTATATTTACTTAACAGGAGGAGCTAACTACACTGAAACTACTCTGGAACTAACACACCTACCGTATTTTCCGCACTATAGTTCGCGCTCTTAAGCCTCCAACCCCATCAAAAAACGACTGTGCGCCATAATCCAGAGCACCCCATACACGAATCCACTCGGGTGTCCCAACACGACTTCAGTAAACTACAAAGCCGCAAACACACACGGAGCAGACAGCGACCGCACAGCGAAACACACCCGCAGACACACTCATCACTCCAAAAGCGAGCGCAATGTGCCGCTTCTAGACACGACTGAACAACTGAGTCACTGCGAACACGCCGACAATCCGTTGGTCCCAGACAGCACCCTCCCTACACGCCACAACTGAACAAAGCCCAGAGTCACCGTGAACGAACAAACAAACAAAACCACTCACCATCACACTGTTGTGTTTCCTTTAAAGTCCCACGCGGTTTATTTGTGAAAAAAGTTCGAACATAGACCATTTAATGAAATCTATGTGTCATTCGTTCATTCGTTTTTCAATATAAAACCAAAAATAAGAAAATGAAAAAACAACAGTTTTCTTCACTATTTGTCTCCAAAACCAAAATGAAAAAACAGATAAACAATTTGTTTTTTCAATTTTCGATTTTGTGTTTAAATGAAAAATGGAAAAAAACAGATAACGTCCGTTTCCCGTTTACGTGACTTCCCGTGACTGCGATGCCGAACTTTTGCACCGCGTACGGACTGAACCAGGACTGATCCAGGTCCGGGACCAGACCGGGACCAGAGACCGGGACCAGACCGGGACCAGGGACCGGGACCAGGGCGGGACCAGGGCGGACTCCGAGCTTTGACTCCGAGCCTCAGCTTCGAGCTCCGGTCCTGCCGTGGGCTCTGAGCCTCTGGTCTGGTCCCGGTCTGGTCCTGGTCTTGTCTCGGTCTCAGGCCCACTCTGGTCCCGCTCTGTCCCAGTCTCAGTAGCGCTCTGGTCTCGGTCTGGTCCCAGTCTGGTCCCGGACCTGGTCCATTTGAACCAAAAGCTCTTATTTCGGTTTGTTTTCGTTGGTGTGAAAGCGTCAGTCGGAGGCTTTGCACCACCTCGGAACCAGCCGTGGTTCTTGAGTGTGGAGGACTGGAGCACCCGTCCGGACCTGTAGTCCACAGAACATTCTCACTTTCCCCGCACAGAACCAGCGCGCAGACGATGACACGGAACCACTCGGACCACTGGTCTCGGTCTCAGTTCCGCTGTGGTCCCGGTCTCAGTCCCGGTCAGTCCCGCTCTGGTCCCACTCTGGTCCTGGTCTGGTCCCGTCTGGTCTCGGACCTGGATCAATCCTGGTTCAGTCCGTACGCGGTGCAAAAGTCCGGCATCGCTGGAAACGTCCGTTATCTGTTTTTTCCATTTTTCATTTAAACACAAAATCGAAAAATGAAAAAACGAATCGTTATCCGTTTTTTCAATTTGGTTTTGAAGACAAATAACGAAAAAAACTGTTGTTCTTTCGTTTTCTTATTTTTGGTTTTACATTGAAAAACAAATGAATCATTGATACACAAATTTATTGACAGTGCGTCTTTAATCCAGAGCGTCTTATAGCCCGTAAAATACGATACATAATTCATTCACTTTAAACTTGTTGGATGTATGTTATGATTGTAGCCACAGCTGCCCTGGGGCACACTGACACTGACGAAGCAAATATGTGCCATCGACCCGTCCGACACACACACACACACACACACACACACACACACACACACACACACACACACACACGACATTCACACTAAAACAATTATCAAGGCTCAAAACATGTCGTGAATCGGAGTCATTTGAGCCACAACACTGAGTTCTTTCATTCATCTGAACTCACATAAACTCATCTGTTCAGTAAAACTCATGACGATGTTTTAAATGTTTCTTTTCCTCAGATCATTTTCCGCTTCGCCCTCGCTCTGTTTAAGTACAAAGAAGAAGAGTTTCTGAAGCTGCAGGATTCCACGGCCATTTTCAAATATCTCCGGTATTTCACCCGCACCATCCTCGACTCCAGGTGAGAGGCTTTTTCTCTGTAATTCTAACGTAAACATAAATATAAGTGTTTTATTTTTGCCTTTAAAGGAGACATATTACACAAAATCAACTTCTAATCTTAGCAAAGGAGAAATTTACTTCTGTTAACTGGATAAAAGTTGTTTTGTTTTTGTTTTTTGTTTTGTTTTTTTTGTGTCCCCTCATCGTTACTCAGTTGTATTTTTATTGGTTCATTTGTGTTTGAGTAAAATTGCAGTTTTCACCTCCCCCCTGTCCCCGCCCTTAAATATGATTATCCAAAACCTTCTGACTCTGAGTGATTCATGCAGGTTCTGAAAAGACACAGACAAAGACAAAGATAAAAACACTTGAATGAAAATCTGCTGGTCCTGTTTTTGTCCTGGTTTAGTCCTGGTTTAGTCCTGGTTTAGTCCTGGTTCAGTCCTGGTTTAGTTCTGGTTCAGTCCTGGTTTAGTCCTGGTTTAGTCCTGGTTTAGTCCTGGTTTAGTCCTGGTTTAGTCCTGGTTTAGACCTGGTTTAGACCTGCTTCAGTCCTGCTTCAGTCCTGGTTTAGTCCTGGTTTAGTTCTGGTTCAGTCCTAGTTTAGTCCTGCTTCAGTCCTGCTTCAGTCCTGCTTCAGTCCTGGTTTAGTCCTGGTTTAGTCCTGGTTTAGTCCTGCTTCAGTCCTGGTTTAGTCCAGGTTTAGTCCTGGTTTAGTCCGGTTTAGTCCTGGTTTAGTCCTGGTTTAGTCCTGGTTAGTCCTGGTTTAGTCCCTGGTTTTAGTCCTGGTTTAGTCCTGGTTTAGTCCTGGTTTAGACCTGGTTTTAGTCCTGTTCAGTCCTAGTTTCAGTCCTGGTTTAGTCCTGGTTTAGTCCTGGTTTAGACCTGGTTTAGTCCAGTTTAGTCCTGGTTTAGTCCTTTTAGTCCTGGTTTAGTCCTGGTTTAGTCCTGGTTTAGACCTGGTTCAGTCCTGGTTTAGTCCTGGTTTAGTCCTTTAGTCCTGGTTAAGTTTACCTGGTTTAGACCTGGTTTAGACCTGGTTTTTAGTCCTGGTTTAGTCCTGTTTAGTCCTGGTTTAGTCCTGGTTTAGTCCTGGTTTAGTCCTGTTTAGTCCTGGTTTAGACCTGGTTTAGTCCTGGTTTAGTCCCGGTTTAGTCCTGGTTTAGTCCTGGTTCAGTCCTGGTTTTGTCCAGTTTTCATTTAAACAGAAAATCGAAAACTGAAAAAAACAAATTGTTATCCATTTTTTCATTTTGGTTTTGGAGACAAATAATGAAGAAAATAGTTGTTTTTTTGTTTTCTTATTTTTGGTTTTACTTTGAAAAACAAATGAACGAATGATGTTTTTGACGAGTTAACCGCGTTATAACATGATTTAAACCTCACAAGAGTCCGTTTTGTGTAATATCGGACCTTTTACTTTTTGAGGCGTTCGCTGTTGAACTCTGACTCTCTTCTTCTCGTCTGCAGGAAGCTGATGTCCATGGCGTTCGTGGACATGAACCCGTTCCCCATGAGGCAGATCCAGAGCCGCCGCGCGTTCCACCTGGAGAAGGTTCGTCTGGAGCTGAACGAGCTGGAGGCCATCAGGCAGACCTTCCTCCGAGAGCGCGAGAGCAGCCAGGACGGCCGCAGCTTCGTCAGCGATGACGACGAGGACAACTAAACACACCTCAAAACCACCACAGACTTTTACCCCGACCCCGACCCTCACTATCAGTATTCCGGCCATTTACTTAATTAGTGTTAGTACTTTTTGTCAGTATATATCGCGTTCCACTCTGCGTCCGTCGCCTGACCAGCCAGATTTTACTTCCTTCTGTTTAAATCCTGAAGAGTTTGGGTCCAGACCACAGAACGGGACCGGAGACTCGCCCTCTGTCCGCCACGTTGCAGAGAGGCGAGTTTCATTGTTGACAAAAGCGCGCGTTTCATGCTGGGAATTATTTTGGTCGGCGGCAAGAAACACTAATTCAACATGACGGACGGAGCGAGAAAGCACGTAAAGGGTATTGATCCCGGTTATTTATCCACTCTAACGGCAGAGGACCCAAGACCATTTGACCAGAAATTGGTCATAAGCATCGACGGACGACAAATCACCCTTTTCAACCCCGACAAAAGGTGGAACAAACCAAATTTCTGGTCAGAATCGCCAACTACCTGGACAAATATTCACTTGGGCGACATCCACAATGACTTGGTGGAAACTCCTGGGCCATTCACAGCAGAAAAGATGAAAACCTCCAAGAGTCTCGATGTGTTGTTGAACTTGTTGGAGTCCACGGTTTGTTAGGATCTTCTACGTTTGCTCTGCGGATGTTTGAAAGTCGTTTAATTCACCGTTAGTGGTTCTTTTCACTCAGAATACGAAAAAGACATTTTCCTTCTTCCGTGCTTCTATTTGTGCGTCCGATAATGCAGCAGGAATTTACCATTATCGGGGATAAATACACGAGGTTACGCACTGTGTTTGACGCTACCGTGTTTCTTGCCTCCGACCAAAATATTTCCCAGCAGCAACGCGGGCTTTTAATAACAATGACGTCAGCTGAAACTCGCCTATAGGAAGCGCAAAATCCAGTCCAATCCACTTTACTTTATTTCTGTAGCACAACAAACTATTTCCAAAATGCAGCACAAATACATAATAAATAATAAAATAATAAAAATAAAAATATTATATAAAAATAATAATAAATAATAAATATAATGATAAATAAATACAATAAATAATATAAATTTAAATATAATATAATACATAATAAAATGATAAAATCAACACTCAGATTTAATCATACTCGTCTTAAAACAATAAATCCAGTAAAATAAAAGGGGAGCAAAAACCATAGAATAACAATAAATAAATAAATAAATAAATAAAAGACACAACTCATGCAGTGTTAAAAACCAGAGAGTAAAAGTGGGTTTTAAGAGACTAAAACGAGACTAAAACAGGACGAAAACAGGACAATACTGTTTTCAATCCTGGTCTGGTCCCAGTCCTAGTCCTGGTCTCAGTCCCGTTCTGGTTTCTGTCTGGTCCCGGACCTTGATTAGTCCTGTTTTAGTCCTGGTTCAGGCCGTCATCGACCATCTGACCAGAACGGAAGAAACATCTGGGACGAGCTGTGAAACGTCTAAAACATCTAAAACTTTTGTCCAGTTTCAGATTTTCATTTTTCCTTTTTTTGCTCTGGCTCAGACCTGGTACGACCGAGGGACTACGCAAACATCTCTCTGATTGGTTAATCCACCTGTCAATCACTCCCAAACGAAATCAGGCACAGGTTAAGGCTCTAAACTCGTACTCGCTCTCATCTTTTTAAAGTTTTGTCTCGTTTCTGGCTGGTCAGGCGACTCTGTGCAGTGTGGAAGCTCACGTTCTTCAATCGGTTTTTGCACATGTGGCTGTTTTTTTACACGAGCGGCCATTTTATCTGTTGAAGGAGTTTTTTATCACCTTGTATAATCTTTGTAGGTAATTCTTCATTTTACCTGTTGTTTACCTTGTTTACGACCTGGTTTATCTTTCTGTTGCTGTTCTTTTCGTCGCACTTTCTTCCCGTTGCTGAATCGTTCCGCGTTGCTGAGAGTCTTAAAAAAAAAAAAAACGGTGAACAGGTCACATACGACTCAAGTGTGCGACGTTTCTCGGCTGTCACCGTCGCGCTCGCTTCGTTACGCTGTCGTTCACAAATACAGAAGGTGTAATTACATGAGTTTACCACGAGGGGGCGGTAGAGCTGCGTCTGTTTGCTGAGAAATCCCAGCGTTCATGGATGTATTCAAAGAGTTTACTAAAAAAGGGTACCACAAAACACACTGCAGAAAGGAATCTAAAGGTTCAAATGACTTAAATTAGTTTTTTTGTTTGTTTATCAGGAACAATGCATCAAAAAAAACACTTATCTACACAAAAATGTCATGTTTTTGTGCCAGTGTTACAATAAAACACCAAATTTTTTGTTTAGTCTCGAATTTTCTACAAGTTTAGTTTGTCAGATTTACTCTATCATATTTTTCGGATTATAAGGAGCAATATCAATAATGTTGAATTCTCTCGTCTATTTTCATAAGACGAATTAAGCGAAACAAACGGACGACACTTTAGCCCAGGAGAGTCAAACTCATTTTGGTCCGGGGGTCGTATCCAACCGACTTTGATCCCAAAGTGTCCGGATCAGAAAACTCATGTCATATAAACCCCAAAAATAACAATAAGTTCAAATATTTGTGCAGAGAAACACAAATTTATTACAGAAATCTTTTTTAATTGATGAACTCTTTCTTTTACAAAATATTATATTATGAACAACCTGAAACTTTAAGATTTAACATGAACTTGTGTGTAAATAGGAATAAGTCCATTTTTGTTGTAAAATCCTGCACTCGGCTCCACTTTTCTCATGTTGGACATTTTTCTGATGAGGGTGTCACGGTCAACAGTCAAAACGATCGTCCTTTAAGAGCGTTTGGAAAGAGACAAGTCTTCATTTGTGCTGCTCTGGTGGGAGGGGCCACGTACAGAGACGCTGGAGACGCTGCTGTGATAAACACCACAGAAAATTAACAAGATTTTAATAGAAAATATAATTACAATATTTGAGTAGAAAATCAGCCGAGGGCCAGATTAAAGGTCTTGGAGGGCCGGACCTGGCCCCCGGGCCGTATGTTTGACACCCTTGATTTAGACTGAGTCCTGAGTCCTTAGTCCAGGCGTCCACGATCCATCGGCAGATCGTGGTGTAATTCGCCGGCGTTTCCTCTCTGTCTTGGTGAATGTTTTTTATGAATGTGAATGTGGGTGGATCATTTAAGTTTGTTTTTTTATTTCCTATGAGGACGACTCAAATATACACTGACTACCGTATTTTTCAGACTATAAGCCGCCGTATAAGTCACACCAGCCCAAAAAATGCGTAATAAAGAAGAAAAAACATATAAGTCACACTTTTTGGAGGAAATTCCAGGAGCCGACATTTCCTGTGTAAAGTCAAGTTGTAGTAAAAACAAAAGAAGAGAACAACAGACTGTTAACGTCACATATGAACAGTTCTTCAGATAAACTACAACATAAACAACAGAACAGAACAAGTTTAACAAACTCTCCATCTCACTCCAAATCACTAAATCCATTCAATTCTTCATCCTCGGTGTCACTTCTGAACAACTCGGCCTCGACCTCCGGAGGTAAACAGAGCGACGCAAACTCTTCTGTGTCGCTGTCGTCAGACTCAGCATCAGTTCCAGTTAGAATTATTCGGGTCTTTCTGAATCCCGACAGGATGGTTTCGGTGTCACTGAAGTCCAGGCTTTGTCCATCCATCCAGTGACTTCAGGAGAGTTTCATGGTTCATCCTCCCGGTTCCCGTGAAGTTGTGTTCTCCATCCTCGCTTTCTGCCAGTCCCTCACAAGTTTCTCTCTCACTCCAAACTTTATTTCTGCTGCTTGTTTACTGTTTTTGGCTGAATATTTCGCGACTTGCAGCAGGACAGAGGCTCTTTCTGCAGGAGACATGCGCAGTAGAGCCAAGTGACAGTGGTACAGGAGGAACAGGAGCAGCAGAAACTGACACACAAGACTAGAACCTCTCCACACTTCACTGTGAACATTTTAATATAGAAGTCACATCGGAAACACCCAAACCATGAAAAAAAGTGCCCCTTATAGTCCGAAAAATACAGTAATAATGTGTTTAATGCAGCCTTTTCACATTTGTTTACATTTTACAGAAACAAAACTTAAACCCACATGGCTCATTTTCATTTATTTTTTAATATATATATATAAAAAATCTCTACATAGGCCATGGTACGATACATATCTCATATACAGTGCACTTTCGATTCGATACGGTTTTAAAAAAGTCTTTGTTAAACCACTTCTTGTGCAACACAAACATTTTAATCATCAAAACTGTGAAAATGTCAAATGCGTTGCTTAGACAAGTTTTTTTTCCACTAAACAAACCACAAAACTGTAGCTGTAACAAAATAATTTAGTAAAATATACCAAAAAAAGTACTCTTGGTGATATATCGATACAGTATCATCACATTAAACGATACGATATATTGATATTTTCATATTTTTGCACACGCCTACCGGTGACCAGACTCACATCTTCACATTTTTATACAGAATTGAAGAAGTGTGTTTACTCTTGATCCTAAAAAATATGAATTCAAGTCATTTAAACGTTGCCAGGTTGGACTTTCTGCAGTGTGATTCTGTATTTGAGCCGAGTACTGTTTCACATTCACGTGTTTTTCCAAATATTTACCCAGGGCGAAAACCGTACGATGCTGAAAAGTGTTTTTGATTGTATTTTCTTAAATCTTTTTTATACACACTCGCTCTGTGCCTCTGTGCCTTGTTCAGACTTTGCCCAGCTGTATTTCGCTCTTGTGAAACGTTTGAGCGGAGAGTAGAAGTAGAAGGCGGTGGGAGCAGGTCTCTCGCTCTCGTACGTTTTAGTTTGAGTTTGGGTTTTCACAAGTTCGTTCATGATTCGTATTTCACAGCGGATAAGCTACGACTCTTTTACCTGTGGAAGTTTATTTGTTTCGTCAGATTTTGAATGAATTTTTAAACGGCGTCGAATTTCTCTCTTTGGATTTTTTAACTCTGTTTGAATTATTTTTATTCTGAATCTTTAGTCGCTGAAATTTTCCGTGTACTTTTTCAATAAACAACAAAAATGTCACCTTTTTAAATATTCAGCACAAATATTTTCAAGCCGTCAAATTCCACTGTCAAAATTCAGAGCGTGAAATTCGTGGTGAAAAAAAATTTGCAAGAAAAATCATGGACTGTATTTTATTTGCTGAAATTTTAAGAGTACGTTTATCATTATCATAGTGTTTAAAAATCTGAATAAAAAAAAAAAATTCTATCTTCAAGCCCTCAAATTCTAAAGTCAAAAGATCCAAAATGCAAAGGCAAAAGCAATCGAACCAAAATAATACAATCTAATTTAGTAACGAGCAGGAAATGGTGCAGTGAATCGATCTGATTGGTCAGAATTATTCTCATCAAAACCTCATTTATTTTCTTTCTTTTTTTTTTTTTTCTTATTTTATTTCGGGTTCTGTCGTCTTCGCTCACACAGGACCGATTGATCGATTGCTTCTGCCTTGGCATATTGGAACTTTGAATTTTTTCACTGCGAATTTTACACTCGACAAGTAAAATTCAGAATAAAAATAATCCAAACATCTTTTTTACAAGTTAAAAAAAACCAAAGTGAGAAATTCAGCGGGATTTTAAAATTCCAAATCTGATGAAAAATGATCTTCCACACGTCTCTGCTTTCTTATCACACAGAGTATTACGCACTTTGTCTTTTGTATCGATCACTTTGAGAATCAGTATCTTTTCTGTTACAAAATCGTATTTGTCAATCAATAAACATCAGCTGACTGAAAGTGTTGGTTCGTCTCAGATTCTGTGTCGTAATTCTTAAAGATGCACTGTGGAACTTCTGAGGTGGACGGTCCGCTGCTCGTCTCCATGGAGATGTTATTTCTGCCCATATCTGCCTGTCAAAGTCTACGTTCAGACTGCAGGGTTTAACGCTCAATTCAGATTTTTTTGTGAAATCCGATGTTTTTGCGAGGTCGTTCACATTTCCAATTAAATGTGACTTGTATGTGTCTCCAGTGTGAACATTAAACGTCCTAAAAGTGTCCCACATGTGACACTGGAGACACGACGACGTCAACCGCAGCGAGCGTCTCTGTGTTTACAGAAGTTGTCCAAACATGGACGCAGCATCGAGCACCTGGAGATTTTAAAGTTCCTCTCGTACCGGAGCCACAACATGAACAACTTACTTGTTTTAAGGAGGAGATTGAGAAGGAGAAGGACGAGGTTTTTGGTCGTGGTGTTTTGTGGTTCAGTCCGTTGAAAGGAACGTGTGGATGTGGAGACGGAGCCAAGAGTGGTGAGTGGTGATGTGCTTCACTTCAGTGACACAGAGTTCATTAACAATTTTCATCTACTTCAGTGCAGAATAGTGACGTTTGTGTCTTGTTGATAACGTGTAGGTGGATGAATGCACTTTGACCGTTCAGACTGAAGTCACATGTCAAAAGATCAGATATGTATCAGTTTCAGGAGCACATATCCATTTGTGTCACTTCAGGCTGCAGACTGAACGCAGCCAATGTCTGAACCTGTCAGATCTCAGAAGCTCCGAGGACTAGTTTCATTTGGTATAATCCAGTTTTAGAAACGCATTTGGTATAATCCACACTTCAAGAATCACAATCAGTAAAATTCACAGTTTGAGAGTCGCATTCAATATAATCCACAGTTCAAGAATCACATTTGTAAACAATTCAAAAATTGCTTTTATTATAGTTTTAGAATCACATTTGGTGATTCTTAAAGATGCACTGTGTAACTTATAAGGTGGAGGGTGTGCTGCTCGTCTCCATGGCGATGTTATTTCTGCCCATATTGTTTTGTCAAAGTCTGATCCTGTCAGATCTCAGAAGCTCCAGAGTCCTGGTCTGGAGCCACAAGGGGGCGCCAGATACAAAAAAAACATTACTGTGTCCATAGAAAAGACACTTCACCCACATTACCCAGTATGAATGTGGTGTGTGTGTGGGTGACTGATGGTGCAGATTGACAGCCTCACTTCTGTCAGTCTGACCCAGGGCAGCTGTGGCTACAGTAGTTTACACCACTGAGTGTTGAGTGAATGAATAATAAACTGTAAAGTGCTTTGAGTGTCTTGAGAGGCGCTGTATAAATGCAGTGATTAATTAATTGATTTGCCTGGAATGTTCGACAGTAGGACATGTTAAATTACAGGAGTTTAGATCAAAAATAAATTTAAAAACATGAATTTGTACCATGTCCAGCCTCGCTTCTCCATAGATCTGACCATGAACCTGTCTCCACTGTGAATATCAAGTTTATTTTCATTCTGTGGAACAATTAAATCAAAACTGTCGAACATCTACATGGAGACAAGCAGGTGTCTCACCCTCCACCAGAAAAGTTACACAGTGCACCTTTATACGGAGCAGGAGCCTATAAATAATATTATATAGTGTTGATACTTTGCAGCTGATGTGATCATCTTTCTCTGGGGGTTTTGTGCTAACTGAAAGCACTGCTCTGTCTGAAGCTCTGATACTCAAATCCACAGTTCAAGAATCACATTTGGTATAATCCAGTTTTAGAATCACAATCAGTAAAATCCACAATTTTAGAATCTCAGTCTGTATAATCCACAATTTGAGAATCATATTTAGTATAATTCACAGTTTTAGAGTCACATTCAACTCCACAGTTCAGGAGCTGCAATCAGCATAATCCACAGGTTTAGAATCGCAATTGATATAATCTACAGTTTTGAGTATAATCCACAATTCAAGAATCTGAATCGGTATAATCCACAGTTCGAGAATTGCAATTGGTAAAATCCACAATTCCGGAATCGCATTTGGTATAATCCACAGTTCAAAATCACATTTCGGTTTAATCCACATTTGGAGAGTCGTAATCAGCATAATCCACAGTTTGAGAATCTAAATCTGTATAATCCATAGTTTTAGAATCACATTTGGTTTAATCCACAGTTCAAAAATCGGATTTCAGTATAATCCACAGTTTTAGAATCACATTCATTATAATCCACAATACGAAAATTGTATTTCGATATAATCCACAATTCGAGAGTATTCATTATCTGTAAGCAACGGTCATAAAAATTCCAGAAATTAACAGTTCATGAATCACAATTGGTATAATCCACAGTTCTTGAGTTTTGATTATCTTTAAACCACAGTCATAAAAATTCAAGAAATTAACTCTTGAAATATTAAACTCTATGTGTGATGATTCTGAATAATATAATATCAGTTTGACTTTCTGAAATGACCAACAAAATACAGTATATAGAACTTTTTCATGATATTCTAATTATTTGTGATGGACGAGTAGTTTCTAAACTTGTCCAACTTTTAGATTTAACGAAAACAAGGGGAAAAAAAGTAAAAAAAACACCTGACATCACCACCAAAAAAGGTCATTTAAAGGTCTCGTATTACGCAAAAGTGACTCTTGTTCGAGCTTTGAGTCGTGTTCTCATGCTGTTCCCTCCTCAGAAACAGACCTGGAGTTGTGTTTGGTTTCATTCACACATGTTTGAGTCATCCTTTATTGTTCGCTTGTCTTATTAGTCTAATCTCCAAAGCTCAGAATAGAAAACAGAATAATATAGGGCCTGTCCGTGTCCTTCTGTCGACCTGTAGAAACTGCCGCTACCTGAATCCCCGCGTTCGTCTTTACACAGCCGGACCTGAAATGATGAAGTTGCTCTTGTCACTTCCTGAAAAAAGAAACGTTCAGAGTTGCCGGTCAGTGTGTGTGTGTTTTGTGACAGACGCAGTGACATAACAGGACCAGGAGGGGGCGGGACCTCAGACACAAAACAGAGACACACACAACCAGAAGCTCTCAGGAGTCGGCTGCAGTCATGAAGAGAGGACCTGACTCGTGAAGAGAGGACCTGACTCGTGAGGACCGGAGCACAACACGGAGTAAAGGTAAGATTTAAACTCCTACTTCACACAAAACTGACTCTTGTGAGCTTTGAGACGTGTTAGAATGTTGTTTCCTCCTCAAAAACAGAGCTGGAGTTGTGCTTTGTTTCACTCACAAGTTTGAGCAACTCTTTTATTTTTATTAGTCTGTCTACATTTCTCCATCTCCAAAGCTCAAAACGCTCAGTTCCACCTTGTGATGTCATGAAGAGGTAGTTTTCAAGTGAACATCAACATTTTGATTCTAGATATTAGTTAGTTAGTGAGCTTTGTGTTGCTGTTTTGTATGAAAAGAGTTCTGTAAATAAAGTTTGATTTGATTTAGTTTTAGTTTTTTTTGTTTTTTTGTTTTTCTTCGGTCAGTTAACATAATCATACATCATATTACAATGATTTAACACAAAACATTCTGCATTTTATTGTATATATATTTTTATTTTATGTATTTTGTATGTATATATTTTTATTTATTATATTATTATTATTATATTTTTTTATTTATTTATTTATTTATTTATTGTGTATGGACTTTAAAAACACAGTGAAGCACTTCCTGTCTGCCTACATTTCTACATCTCCAAAGCTCTAAATGCTCTGTTCCACATTGTGATGTCATGAAGTGGTAGTTTTCAAGTGAACAGCTCCTTTTACCTTTAGTTCAGTATTCATAGTTTTTTATTTCATTATTTTAGTTTTAGTTAGTGAGCTTTGTGTTGCATTTTTGTATGAAAATTGCTCTATAAATAAAGTTTGATTTGATTTAGTTTTTTTTCTTTTTAGTATATATATATTTTTTTATTATTTTTTATATTTTATTTTTGTTTTGAATTAATTTTATTATTTTTATATTTTTAATTGTTTTTATTTTTATTATTATTTAATTTATTAATTAATTTTTTTATTTCGTTTCATTATTACTCATATTTTCATGTTTCCTCGTCACAAACAGACCTGGAGTTGTGTTTTGTTTCATTCACACAAGTTTAACGCACAAACCCTGCAGATTTAGGCTGAGTTCCAACTTGTGATGTCATGTGGTGTTACAGGAAATGCTCCACTGTGTTTTTAAACTCCACGCACTTTCACTAGAATCATTTGGATCATTTCAGCAACGCAATTTCCAATCTGTAATGAACTAAACCTAAAAAAAACCATCAAACAACAACAAACTCAAACATGTCAATGAAACAAAACACAACTCCCGGTTTGTTTTTGAGAAGTGAACAACATCAGAACATGACTTAAAGCTAAAGTGATCACATTTTCTCAATTCTAAACTGGGACACACCCGGGTTGGGATGTTTGGTATGAATAAAATTGTGAAAAGAAGGCGGAACATTTGACATTTTCGTATCAGTCATGATCTGAGGGGCTTCTGACGCTGCATTTTTTTGGTTTATGCTCATTTGCAAACACAGTTTTCTGTATTTTGGCGAAACAAATGACAATTTATGCTCCTCAGATTAGTCAAAAAGTGTGATAGTTCTGGTTTAGACCTGATGTAGTCCTGGTTTAGTCTTAGTTTAGTTGGTTTAGATCAAATTACCGTACTTTCCGCACTATTAGTCGCTCTGGATTATAAGGCGCACTGTCATTAAATGGTCTATTTTCGAACTTTTTTCACAAATAAACCGCACTGGACTTTAAAGGAAACCCAACAGTGTGATGGGTGAGTGGTTTTGTTTGGTTGTTCGTTCACAGTGACTCTGGGCTTTGTTCAGTTGTGGCGTGTAGGGAGGGCGTGGTCATTTTTTGATGGGTTGGATACTTTTGAGTGCGCCCTATGGTGCAGACAATACGGTAGTCCAAAATAGTGACACCTGGGATATTTCTTGTATAAAACTGGAACAAATCACTGGTTTTGTGTAAATCTGCTGGGACTGGGGACACAGGACCAAAACCAGACTATCACAATTTTTGACTACTGTATTTTCCGGGTTATTAGTCGCGCTCTTAAGCCTCTAACCTCATCAAAAAACGACCGCGCGCCACAATCCAGAGCGCCCCATACACGAATCCACTCGGGTGTCCCGGTACGACTTCAGTAAACTACAAAACCACAAACACACACGGAGCAGACAGCGACCGCACAGAGAAACACACCCACAGACACACTCATCACTCCACGCCGACGAGGAACGGAACGGAGGAACAAACCGAAAAAGCGAGTGCAATGTGCCACTTCTAGACACGACTGAACAACTGAGTCACTGCGAACACGCCGACAATCCGTTGGTCCCAGACACACCCTCCCTACACGCCACAACTGAACAAAGCCCAGAGTCACCGTGAACGAACAAACAAACAAAACCACTCACCCATCACACTGTTGGGTTTCCTTTAAAGTCCAGTGCGGTTTATTTGTGAAAAAAGTTCGAAAATAGACCATTTAATGACAGTGCGTCTTATAATCCAGAGCGACTAATAGTGCGGAAAATACGGTAATCTGATCCTCGCCAACAGGAAGGTTGAGCATAAATTATCATTTGTTTCACCAAAATACAGAAAACCGTGACTGTGAATGACTGTAACGCAAAAATAAAATGCACTTAATGGATTTTTCTGCATATTTAAAGCTCACAAGAGTCAGTTTTGTGTAAAATTCGACCTTTAACTTGGACACTCGTGTTTTTCCTGTTTGTAAAGTCAAGGTCCTTTTGCAGATAGTTTCACACAGGTTCAGTCTTTGTTTCACTGTGGTTGTATCTCGTCCTGGTGATAAACTACTCAAAAAGTTCTTATTTGGAGTAAAATGTGAAAAAGCAAAAACAAACACCGGCAACATTTCCTGGGCGTGTGATGCTAACTGAACGCACTGATCCGTCTGAAGCTCTGTTACTCAAATTAGGCTAGATTTCAGTTTTATTTTAACACAATCTGACCAGAAACTGAAGCTGATTTGTTTGATTTGGTTCATTCATGACGAACGTGAGTCAGTACAGTCACATTTTCTTTGTGTTTTCAGCTTTTGTAAGCAGCTTTTCGCCATTTTACCTAAAGAAATGACAATTTATGTCTCTCTTTACTGTTGGCAGGGATCAGACTGATCAAAAATATCAACATTTTGTGCATAAAACTGAGACAGGTCACTGGTTTTGTTTAAATCTGCTGGGGCAGGGGACACAAACTCAAAACTGGGACTGTCCCTGGGAAACAGGGTCACCCTAAACTAAGACTAAACCAGGACTAAAACAGGACTATCACAATTTTTGACTAAACTAACCCTGCCAACAGTAAAGAGGAGCATAAATTGTCTTTAGCTTCGACTAAAATACAGAAAACTGTTTGCAAATGACCCTAAAGCAAAAAAAATACCTCTTTTTATTATATTATGACTGACACAAGAAAGCACAATGTTCACGCTCTTTTCACAATTTTATTTACACCAAACATCCCAACTCGGGTCTGTCCCACTTTAGACTTTTAACAATATGGTCTCTTTATTTCTCTCCTGAAAATGTGCTCCATTCTGTGTTTTTCCTTGAGTTTCTAGACTAGGGTGACCAGATTTTAAAAATCTACCGGGACATTCTCAGGTTGTTTTGGTTGGTGATAATAAAATTGTGAATCGACATTCGTTCTGCACTCGGCCCATTCATGATGAACATGAATCAGTATAGTCACATTTTCTTTGTGTTTTGGTCGTTTTTAAGAAGATTTTCTGTATTTTACCTAAAAGAACTCACAATTTATGCCTCTCTACTGTTGAAAGTGATTAGATTGGTCAAAAATAGGGACATTTCTTGTATAAAACTGAGACAAATCAGTGGTTTTGTTTAAATCTGCTGGGACAGGGGACACAGGCTCAAAACTGAGACTGTCCCTGGTAAACAGAGACGCCTGGACGCACTAAACTGACACTAAACCAGGACTACATCAGGTCTAAACCAGGACTATCACAATTTTTGACTAATCTGATCCTGCCAACAGTAAAGTGGAGCATAAATTGTCATAAAAACTCCTAAACAGGACCATGAACACTCAAACTGACCAAAAACTTGCTCTTTAAATCCAATTTTGTAATTTTTTCTTGAGTTTTGAGACTAGGGTGACCAGATTTTTTAAATAAAAAACTGGGACACTCTCGATTTGTGGTGGTTGGTGATAATAAAATTGTGAATCGAGTGAGTAATTAAGGAAAACTATTCTGCACTCGGTCCATTCATGATGCACATGAGTCAGTATAGTCACATTTTCTTTGTGTTTTGGTCGTTTTTAAACAACTTTTGTGTATTTTACCTAAAGAACTCAAAATGTATGTCTCTCTTTACAGTTGGCAGGGATCAGATTGGTCAAAAATAGGGACATTTCTTGTATAAAACTGGGACAAATCTGTGGTTTTGTATAAATCTGTTGGGACAGGGGACACAGGCTGAAAACTGAGACTGTTCACCCTAAACTAAAACTAAACCAGGACTACATCAGGTCTAAACTAAGGACTAAACCACAATTTGTCACAATTTTTGACTAATCTGATCCTCGCCGAACAGTCAAGAGGAGCATAAATTATCATTTGTTTTGCCAAAATACAGAAAACCGTGTTTGCGGATGATCATAAAGCAAAAAAAAAGCGGCGTCAGAAGCCCCTCAGACACGAGTTACACATCCCAACCCCAGTGTGTCCCAGTTTAGAACTTTGACAACCTGGTCACCCTGTTTTTGTTGAAAATCAGACTCAAAGGGGATTGGAAATGTTAAATCTTTGCTTCATCCATCCCCTTTTCAAACCTGCATGTTTATATCTGCATTTGTATTGTTATGTCGTGAAATGTATGTGCAGGTTTGAAATAAAATAACTAAACAGGACCGTGAAAGCTCGGACTGACCACAAACTCCTGAAACTCTGCTCTTTAAATACATTTTGTGTTTTTTCTTGAGTTTCCAGATATAGAGTGACCAGATTTTCAAAATAAAAAACCTGGACACTCTCAGTTTCTGGTGGTTGGTGATAATAAAATTGTGAATCGAGTGCATAATTAAGGAAAATTGGTCCATTCATGACGAACATGAGTCAGAATAATCACATTTTCTTTGGGTTTGGGTCGTTTTTAAGCAGCTTTTCTGTATTTTACCTAAAGAATTGTCAATTTATGTCTCTCTTTACAGTTGGCAGGGATCAAATTGGTCAAAAATAGGCACATTTATGCATAAAATTGGGACAAATCAGTGGTTTTGTATAAATCTGTTAGGACAGGGGACACAGGCTCAAAACTGGCTCCTGAAAATGTGCTGTTTGAAACCATTTTTTGTTTTTTAAGTTTCCAGATTTTCAAAATCAAAAACTGGGACATTCTCAGTTTGTTTTGGTTAGTAATAATAAAATTGTGAATTGAGTGCGAAATTAAGGAAAATTGTTCCGTACTCGGCACTAACGTGAGTCAGTATAGTCACATTTTCTTTGTGTTTTGGTCGTTTATGAGCAGCTTTTCTGTATTTTACCTAAACAAAAGACAGTTTATGTCTCTCTTTACAGTTGGCAGGGATCAGATTGTTCAAAAATAAGGACACCTGGGACATTTCTTGTAAAAAAAACAAAACAAAACTGGGACATATCATTGGTTTTGTATAAATCTGCTGGGACAGAGGACACAGGCTCAAAACTGGGACAGGGTCACCCTAAACTAAAACTAAACCAGGACTAAAACAGGACTCATCACAGTTTTTGACTAAACTGATCCTGCCAACAGTAAAGAGGAGCATAAAGTGTCATTTGTTTTTCCAAAATACAGAAAATCGTGTTTGTAAATTAACATAAAGCAAAAAAAATTGTCCCTCAGATTATAACTGACACGAGAAAGCACAATGTTCCACCTTCTTTTCACAACTTTATTTACACCAAACATCCCAACTCGGGTCTGTCCCAGTTTAGACTTTTGACAATATGGTCCCTTTATTTCTCTCCTGAAAATGTGCTTTTTAAATCCATTTTGTCATTTTTTCCTTGAGTTTCTAGACTAGGGTGACCAGATTTTCAAAATCAACTGGGACATTCTCAGGTTGTTTTGGTTGGTGATAATAAAATTGTGAATCGAGTGAGTAATTAAGGAAATTTGTTCTGCACTCTGTCCATTCAGGACTAACATGAGTCACTATAGTCACATTTTCTTTGTGTTTTGGTCATTTTTAAACAACTTTTTGTGTATTTTACCTAAAGAACTCAAAATGTATGTCTTTCTTTACTGTCGGCAGGGATCAAATTGGTCAAAAATAGTGACACCTGGGACATTTCTTGTATAAAACTGGGACAAATCAGTGGTTTTGTATAATTCTGCTGGGACAGGGGACACAGGCTCAAAACTGAGACTGTCCCTGGTAAACAGAGACTAAACCAGGACTACATCAGGACTAAACCAGGACTATCACAATTTTTGATTAATCTGATCTTTACCAACAGTAAAGAGGAGCATAAATTGTCATAAAAACTCCTAAACAGGACCATGAATGCTCAGACTGATCACAGGCTCCTGAAAATGTGCTCTTTAAATCCATTTTGTGTTTTTTTCCAGACTAGAGAGACCAGATTTTCAAAATCAAAACTGGGACCCTCCTGGTTTGTGGTGGTTGGTGATAATAAAATTGTGAATCGAATGAGTAATTAAGGAAAATTGTTCTGCACTTAGCTCACACATGACTCAGTATAGTCATATTTTATTTGTGTTTTGGTCGTTTTTATGCAGCTTTTTGACATTTTACCAAAAGAACTCACAATTTATGTCTCACTTTACAGTTGGCAGGGATCAGACTGGTCAAAAATAGACACATTTATGCATAAAACTGGGACAAATCAGTGGTTTTGTTTAAATCTGCTGGGACAGGGGACACAGACTCAAAACTGGGACTGTCCCGGGTCAACAGGGACGTCTGGTCCCCCTAAACTAAGACTAAACCAGGACTAAAACAGGACTATCACAATTTTTTACTAAACTGATCCTACCAACAGTAAAGAGGAGCATAAATTATCATTTGTTTTGCCAAAATACAGAAAACCATGTTTGTGAATGACAATGCATTTTGTATTTTTCCTTGAGTTTCTAGACTAGGGTGACCAGATTTTCAAAATCAACTGGGACATTCTCAGGTTGTTTTGGTTGGTGATAATAAAATTGAGAATCAAGTGAGTAATTAAGGAAATTTGCTCTTCACTCGATCAATTCATGATGAACATGAGTCAGTACAGTCACATTTTCTTTGTGTTTTGGTCGTTGTTTAAGCAGATTTTCTGTATTTTACCGAAACAAATGACAATTTATGTCTCACTTTACTGTTGGCAGGGATCAGATTGGTCAAAAAGATAGAGACATTTCTTGTATAAAACTGGGTCAAATCACTGATTTTGTCTAAATCTGCTGGGACAGAGGACACAAGCTTAGAACTGGGACTGTCCCGGGTAAACAGGGACGTCTGGACACACTAAACTAAGACTAAACCAGGACTACATCAGGTCTGAACCAGGACTAAAACAGGACAATCACATTTTTTGACTAAAGAGGAGCATAAATGATCATTTGTTTCACCAAAATACAGAAAATCATGTTTGTGAATGACCATAAAGCAAAAAAATGCAGCGACAGGATCAACTCAGGTCATGACTGACACAAAAATGCACCATGTCCCACACTCTTTTCACAATTTTATTTACACCAAACATCCCAACCCGGGCGTGTCGCAGTTTGGAATTCAGAAAATCTCATCACTCTTTTTATTTTGTTGAAAATCAAACTCTTAAACCTCCAGAAAGTGTATATTTATTCTCGCGTTTCCAAACAATCTTAAAAACCGTTTATGTGTGCATCGCGTCGCCACGGCAACCAACGCGCATGCCACCGTAGACGCGCACGCAGAACACCTCCAGCTTAATTTCACAGCGCTTACTCACTGAACCGCTCGTTTATTTTTTCACTTCGGACAGTTTCACAATCAGAGTAAACTGTTCTGACCCAGTTACCCAAAACAGCCTCGTAGTTCTAATCTTTCGGGAGCTAAAGTACAACACAAACACAAACGCAAACGCACAACACAACAGGGCCCGTCTGTGGCGCTTGTTTTTGTGAGGGATTTCACTTTTACCGCTCCTTGTAACCTGCCGTGAGTTCCAGTTTTCCAAAGAGGTGAAAGTCTGCTCCGTCTGCTCGCTGCTGGAATGCCTCCTGCCTGTTCAAACTTGTAAAAAAAACTTTTGTGTCTCTGGGCGTCAAAATCTACAAGTGTATTTCTGTTTTTCAAGGAAACAGAAGCGACAGAAGAGAGAGAAGAGAGAGAAGAGAGAGAAGAGCGACAGGAGAGCGACAGGAGAGCGACAGAAGAGGTTGTCGGGAGGAAAACCACATCCATGAGGACATCGGGCATGGCTGTTTTTAAACAACAGAATGTGGAGGATTTCTATGAGCTGGGAGAGGCCCTCGGGAGGTACGACTGAAACTACATGAACACTAACACCAGCTGGAGTACTGTAGTAGTACTGGTAGTAGAAGTGGCAAAGGTAGCAGTACAAGTTTAGTAGTAGTAGCAGTTGTAGTAATAGTGGTATTGGCAGTAGTAGTAGTAGTACCTCTAGTATTGGTAGGTAGTAGGAGGTGGAGGAAAAGGAGTAATAGTAGTAGAAGTAGAAGTAGTGGTAGTAGTGGTAGTAGTAGTACTGGTAATAGTAGTAGGAGGAGGAGGAGGTGGAGAAGTAGGAGTAGTAGTAATGGTTATAGTAGCAGTTGTAGTTTTAGCAGTAGTAGTAGTAGTAGTAGTACTTGTAGTAGTATTAGCAGTATTATTAACATTATTATTATTATTAATATTAGTAGTAGTAGTAGTAGTAGTAGCAGCAGTATTGGTAATAGTAGTAGTAGTAGTAGTATAGGTAAGTAGTAGTAGTAGTAGTAGTAGTAGTAGTAGTAGTACTTGTAGTAGCAGCATTAGTAATAGTAGTGGTAGTAGTAGTATTGGTAGTAGTACTGGTAGTAGTAGTAGTACCAGTATTATTATTATTATTATTATTATTATTAGTAGTAGTAGTAGTAATAGTAGTAGTAGTAATTGTAATAGTAGCAGTAGTAGTAATGGTAGTGGCAGTAGAAGTATTGGCAGCAGTAGTACTACTATTGGTAGTAGTGCTGGTAGTAGCAGTTGTAGTAGTGGTAATGGTAGTAGTAGTAGTAGTTGTAGTAGTAGTATTGGCAGCAGTAGTATTATTGGTCACAGTAGTAGTACTATTGGTACTAGTATGGGTAGTAATGTAGTAATAGTAGTAGTAGTAGTAATAGTAGTAGTAGTAGTCGTAGTGTTTTTTTTGCTAAATATTGTCAATATTTCTGTGTGAGTATCTTTGATCACTTTAAAGCCACAGTGTGTCACTTTTTAGCCATAAAACTGATGAAAACACAAACAGATTTAAAAATATATATTATATTTTGGTTTGTTCATTGCTCTGAAAATGTTGTTCCTTTGCTTCTATATTCTACAGTAGAACATAAAACACATCTGTCTCTGTGGAGAATGTTCCGCAGTGTGGTTTTAACTCTCTGTTTCCATGGAGACATACAGTTAGTGAACCTTTAAATGTGTTAATTGAGATTTAAAGTTAATATAAAACACAAAATTGACTCTTGTGAGCTTTAAGTCGTGTTAAAAACAAACCTGGAGCTGTTTTTTGTTCAGTTTGTTTACATTTTCAAAACTCAAAATGTTCGATATGATTCAGATTTCAATACAGTGAGATTTCGATTTGATTCGATATCTTCCAAATCGATTTAATAGGTTCGGTAAAAGATAAAATATCGAGTCTGAATCATGACTGTGATATTAAAAGTCTTTGTTAAACTATGTCTTGTGCAAAGTTCATTTGAAACACGCCCAGTTTACTCATCAAAACAGTGAAAATGTCAAATGTGTTGCATAAAAAAGTTTCCTTCCTCTGAACAAACAACAAAACTGAAGCTCTGAAACAAAATAAATTTAGTAAAAATAAACCAAAAAATACTCAAGCAGCCGACGATATCGATACATTTCCATCACATTAAACGATATAAATCTGTGTGTCAATCGTTCATTTGTTTTTCAAAATAAAATAAAAAATAACAAAATGAAAAAACAACTATTTTCTTCATTATTTGTCTCGAAAACCAAAATGAAAAAACAGATAACGGCCGTTTCCCGTTTACGTGACTTAAACTGAGATGCCGGACTGAACCAGGTCTAAACCAGTTTCTGGTCCCAATCTGAATCCCGGTCTCAATCATGGTCTGGTCCTGGTCTCAATCCTGGTTTGGTCCTGGTCTCGGTCCCAGTCTCAGTCCTGGTCTCAGTCCTGGTCCTGGTCTGGTTCCGGTCTGAATCATGGTCTGGTCCTGGTCTGGTCCCAGCCCTGGTCTCAGTCTTGGTCTGGTCCCAGTCTCAGTCCTGGTCTCAGTCTTGGTCTCAGTCTTGGTCTGGTCCCAGGCTCAGTCCTGGTCTGGTCCTAGGCTCAGTCCTGGTCTGGTCCTGGTCTGAGTTCCGGTCTCAATCATGGTCTGGGCCTGGTCTGGTCCCGGCCTCAGTCCCGGTCTGGTCCCAGTCTGGTCCCGGTCTGGTCCCAACCTCAGTCTTGGTCTCAGTCCCAATCTCAGTCCCGATCCCAGTCCCAGTTCCAGTCTCAGTCCTGGTCTCAGTCCCTGTCTGGTTCCGGTCTGGTCCCGGACCTGTTGTAGTTCTGTTTTAGTCCTGATTCAGTCCTGGTTCAGTCCGGGATCACAGTTTATCACGTAAACGGGGACCAGACCGGGACTGAGACCGGGACGAGACCGGGACTGAAAACGGTTTAGTCCTGGTTTAGTCCTGCTTCAGTTCTCGTTCAGTCCGGCATCGTTTAAGTCACGGAAACAGGCCGTTATCCGTTTTTTGTTTTTTTTTTTTTTTCCATTTTTCATTTAAACCCAAAATCAAAAACTGAGAAAACGAATCATTGTCGTGAAAGTGTATGGAGTTTAAAAACACAGTGGAGCTCTACCTGTATGTTCCTCCTCTGAGTTCTGAAAAAAAACATCTTGAATAACTCGCTCATCCTCCAGAGAAAAGTTCACAGTCTCCAAATATAAAACCAAACTCTCCAGATCTTTTTTTCCTCTGTCGCTGTGAGTCACTGGAGTTTTCTGCCAACAGAGACTCGACCTGCTCAGGGTTTTTAAAAGTGTGACAAAGAAGCGACGAATCTCTGAACAAGTTTGTGCACATGAGGGATGAGTGTGACGTGAACGATCAGTAAAATGTTAAACGTGTAAAAGTTTGGCTTCGGTTCAGCGAGGAAGACGAGCGTGTGGTTGCATGTTTGGTGTATGTTGTTTTTAGAATCGTTTCAGCGCTTTGACAAGTGTCGGGAAAGTTCAATTTCTATGTCAACGAGTTCAAAGTTCAGTTCACGAATGTCAAAATGAACTACACGACCCGTCAGAAGTTCTAGAACAGCCAAATTTTTCCAGTTGTTTATTGAAAATCAAGTTGTGAAAGTCCAACGAAGAGCCTGAAATGGTACAAATGGGTCTGGTCAAGTGGTAACGGAGGGAAACAGGGGTCAGATTTTTGACATTCAAATGTCTCTTATTCAGAAACTAGAGGAACTATTGAAATAAGTAAAGTATCAGAATGTAGGAAAGAGTTACACTCCAACAGGGTCAAGTTAAACCTGTGATATTCTTTCAAGTTGTTGACATAAAATAAAAAAACTCATGTCGGTAACGGAGGGAATGAAATATGCAGCACTTTTTGGTCAATAAATCCAAACAGTGATAACTCTTGGTTCTCACTTACATATCCTTAACAAACTGGTTTGAATATTTGCTTCATATAGTTTTCTACCATATGGTACAAGATTAGGTTGAAAAACCTCTTACTTTTTGACTCATGAGATTTTTTATTAAGAAAGTTCATGGTAACGGAGGGAAAAGTAACGGAGGGAAAATTGTGCAAACAAGTAGAAGGTGCAGGATTTTACATCATTTGTCACTTTTTTCTTCTGAATACTTTAATATTACTTCAAAATGAAAGGAAACTATTTTTATAAAATATGTCAGTCCTTCCAAGCAAATTTTTATCATTTTAAATACATTTCTTTATGAAAAATCCTTGTACCTTCATCAACAGTTCAAAGATGGAATAACACAAGATATGATGAAATACATCCATTTATTTACATGATTTGCAGGTCTTTGAAATTTGGGAAATAATTTTTGTTCCATGTTTCATACATGGTCTGTTTAAAACGGATGGAACTTTAGAACCAAAAATGGTACAGAAAAAAGGTCAACAGTTTCATAAACTAGAGTACATATGTATCTGTTCAATACATTTTTATATCAGATGAATTAACTTGAATTTTTGGCCTTGTTGTTTACTTCTGCTTGACCAGACCCAAAGGTAAATACTAGGGATGTAACAACAACCAAAATATCGTCAAAGTTCTCACAATAATATCGTGGACCATCACAATATATCGAATCACAAGTGTCTTTGCTTAAATGAAGAGTTATGGTGCAGCAACAGCTTAAAAAAGACAGAGGGAACTACATAGACCATGATCCTTTGCTCCATTTCAGTGCAGACGACAAGAAGAAATAACAGTTCTAACACTTTTGAGTCTTAGTTCTTTGGGAAAAAGGAGGAAAATGTCGCATATTAACAGTTTTGTCTTCAAAATATCGCAATAAATATCGTACCATGAAGGTATCGTATCGTGAGACATAGATCAATTAAAAGAACTTCAATTTATAATGTTGTTTATCTCGTCAAAAACAGACCTGGAGTTGTGTTTTGTTTCATTCACACGTTTGAGTAACTTTTAATTTTTAGTCCGTCTACATCTCCAAAGCTCAAAACGCTCTGTTTCACCTTGTGATGTCATGTTGTTTGTGGTTGTTTTCAAGTGAACAGCTCCTTTTACTAGGGATGTAACAATAAACGAAATACTGTGATATCGTATCGTCAAAGTTCTCACAATAATATCGTGGACCATCACAATATATCGAATTACAAGTGTCTTTGTTTAAATGAAGAGTTATGGTGCTGAAAAAAGACAGGGAACTACATAGACCATGATCCTTTGCTCCATTTCAGTGCAGACGACATGAAGAAATAACAGTTCTAACACTTTTAAGTCTTAGTTCTTTGGATTAAGTCTTATCGAAGCATTTTAAGAGGAAAAAGTAGAATATTAACAAAATATCGGAATAAATATCGTACCGTGAGGTTCATACTGTGACGATATCGTATCGTGAGTCGTGCACTGGGCAAATAGTTGCTGAAACAGGCGAGTTTTAACTTTCTGGAATATTGCAGGTGGGTTGTGATTACACATGGTTGTACAGTTGTAGGGAGTATTATATCTGTCACCTAACAATGAGTTGTTGTGCAGTTGTAGGGAGTATTATCTGAGTTGTTGTACAGTTGTA